GCAATTGATAAATTTAACAAAGAATTCAGAACCAACCTGCAATTCACCTGCAACGTTCATACAAACAATACAGAAATTTAAAAAAAAAAGGAAAAATTTGACACTCCATGCATAATATGTACAATAAAAAACAAGCTTTTCTCTGAAGATGAGCAGAAACAAAGACAGAGCAGGGAATACAAAAAAAAAAATCATCCAAAAGGACTGTTTAGGAGAAAAGGAATGTCTAACTGGCTAAACCTTATGGCATACAATGAAAAAAATGTATATATTTAGTATTATATACAAAAAATATATTGCTTGTACTGTAGAAGAACAGGAAGCTTTCTTTAAACAAGCCGTTCTTGTACATAATTAAACTTATTGCTAATGTATATGCAAATGTAAAAACTTTTAAAATCTGAAAAATAACGACTAGAGGAAGGAATTTTCAATTAAGACGGATTTCTCGTTTCCTTAATAGGATTTTGATAGAAATCCACACTTATAATGAATTCATGCTTATAGTGAAGTGATTTTCATTCCAAGTAACTTTAGAAAATATTATGAACTTGACTGGTATACTGAATTACGTTTCTATCGAATCAAAATTGTTCGTATTTGCTATAAGCATGTTTTACAGTACAGTTGAGCCTTGGTGATCCAGACACTTCATCTTTCAGAAAAAAAATTGTGGGAAACAGTGTTCACATTCATACCTACCTACCAAATGTAAAAGGTATGCTTCAGTAATTTGGAGGCTTGCTTAATAATCTTGACAATTTACTCGGGGACACAAGGTTTTGGAATAACAAGGCTGGACTGTATGGATGACATGACAAGTGACTTGATTTGGTTAAAAAAATATTCAAAACAAAATGTAATGGAAACACTACTTAATAGAATTCATTGTTAGTTACTTAAATAATTTTCAAAATGGAATAAATGCACACAAAATTAAGGCACAAGCAATTAAATTGCCATATAAACTCGATGTGAAGATTTCGCAAGCTATATTACATAATTATTATGACGTGTTTAATTGGAGTATTTCATATATTTTTGAAAGCTACAGAAATATATCTATTTAAAAAAAGTATTTTTTTAAGCTTTAAACCTTTGAACATGTATTACTTGTAATTATATTTACAAAAAAAATGACACAAATTGTGAAAGATTAATGTCTCAAACCAAGAAAAAAAATCATATGGAAGTGTGACCATTGTTATACTTTGTTACTTGCAGAATATTAAAATGGATGCATTTGGCAAGAATATGTTTAATCTACAGATTTTCTCTGAGTAAAGAGTTTGATACATGTATTAAAAATCAAACCACAAAAATCACTGTATCATTATACGCAAAATCAATAAAGTAAAGCAAATGAATTGGAGATTTGGAAAAATACAAGATATGTTTGAGATTACACAATGCCCAAGATTATTTAAAACTTCTGTATGTGCGGACAAGTACATGTAATTCCTATCTGTCCTCTCACCTTCAAACATAAGTCTGATATTGAACTGACAAGACTTAAAATGGTGCATACATGTTTGTAAATCTCTCATGGTTCCAAAGTTATGACAAAAGTTATGTAATGAACAAACATACATAAATTATATACTCATAAAGTATGGTACACATGCTTGCAAGTTATTCTACAAATAAATACTAAAAGCCATTCTCTCTAATGACTTGATCTTTTACATGTATATAAATAATCTAAGATTTTCTTCGAACTCTCTTTGATGAGAGTGTTTGATGCCATTTACTCAAATCAGTCAAATGTGACATGGTTACCATGGCAATATACCTTAGTTTAAAAAATGGCACTTTTGCACATGTTAAGACTCCCATATTTAATGATTGCAGAAATGCAAACAAGTGGCAATGACTGTATTCAAAAGTTGAATGTCTGAAATCTTAAATTTGGGAAATCAACATAATTTACTCTATAAACAGAGTACATGTGTATTCAAAAGTTGTAATTTTATTCATTCATTTATAAAAAGTCAAATACTCTAAATTGAAAGCAATTACAGGTTGAAATGCAACCATCTTAGTAACATATACCTAGGATGAAATGCGATATTTCTTATTGTTTGGCAGCTGTTGCCATGGCTTTAATACTGTAAAGGGATTTCAAATATGTTCTCTTTATGTTTTCAATCTTATCTATCTTTTTAAAAAGCACATTTCTACATAACTGGTTATCAAATTTGAAAGGCAACAGTGAAGTCTTAATTTTTCACATTTTCAAATAATTCAAATTAAATTCTTTAATGGAATTTAATGTTGCTATGGAAATTATAGGAAAAAAATGGATAAAAAGCTGAAAAATATTTTTCAATTCTGACTATCACACAATCTCCAACTGGATGCCAGAAGCTACCACACAGGGTTTAATATTGCTACAAAATCAAACATTTTCCCTTCTAGGTAACCATAACAGTGTTATTTTCTTCATCAAACTTTATCAATTTATGATATTCAACTCTAGTTCTGTCAGATGATATGTTTCTTGACTAAAAGGTAACTAAATTCCTAAAGCTGCAAAAATTATCACTTTAAACCAATGGGTTGTTTCCATGACTCAGTACTAAATAGCAATTAATCCCAATTTTTCTTATACTATCTGTGTTACAAGGTTCTAACAATGTATATTTGCTTGTCTTGAATTTCCATGTTTTTCCTCAAGATAGCAGCATTAACCAAAACATCAACAATTTTTGTAGGCTACACCGTGCAGGGGTGTGCAATTAGCATCGCCCGACACCCGGGGCTACCATTTAACTTGGCATGTATACTGAAGTCAATGTAAGGTATATAGGGTATAAAACTAAAGAGATTCTCTATAGTAGTTTTCACACTATGAAACCCCAGTCGGCTCCCTCAAGTATTGGCAATATTCTAAAAATAACTTATGGTTACCATGGTAGCAGGGGTGTACAATTAAAAAAATTAAGCACTAGCCCACGGGCTAGTGGCAGAAATAAAGTTACTAGCCCCAAGTAAAAAGTTACTAGCCCAAATGTAGGGGAATGTGGGGGGGGGGGGGTAACAACTAATATTAAAAGAAAATAGTTTATCATTGAAAAAGTCAGATAGGGTTTTAATGTGATTCTTTTTAATTCTCACAAGTAAAATTTAATCGTGTATAAATTAATAATTATGATAGATAATAAAAATGAATTCAAATAAATTATCTTATCTAAAATGAAATGACAATCATTTTTTTTTTCATCTTAAATCATTAAATATGCTGGAGTATATTTTATATAAACCGCATAACACTAATCTTTCAATTGATTGAGTGATCGTAAATAATTTAATGAGATATCTGCATGTGTATTTACCATAAACAGAGGAATAGAGGGAATTCGGATTAGGAAAAACGATCGTTATTATCTATCATAATTATTAATTTATACATGATTAAATTTTACTTGTGAGAATTAAAAAGAATCACATTAAAACCCTATCTGACTTTTTCAATGATAAACTATTTTCTTTTAATATTAGTTGTTACCCCCCCCCCCCCCCCCCATTCCCCTACATTTGGGCTAGTAACTTTTTACTTGGGGCTAGTAACTTTATTTCTGCCACTAGCCCGTGGGCTAGTGCTTAATTTTTTTAATTGTACACCCCTGCTACCATGGTAACCATAAGTTATTTTTAGAATATTGCCAATACTTAAGGGAGCTGACTGGGGTTTCATTGTGTGAAAACTACTATAAAGAAACTCTTTAGTTTTATACCCTATATACCTTACATTGACTTCAGTATACATGCCAAGTTAAATGAAAATCTACCGTCTGGTTATTTTTCAGGGACCGTCTCAAAATACAGGTACATTTACTATAGGATTATATAGGAAAATACCATTTTTTCGCACTTCGGAGCAAATTATACAAATACTACTATAGACTTTTTGCTCAAATTTTATTATTTGATGGGTAATACTATATTGTAAATTTTGTGCAAGAAACACAAAATTCTACCGTCTGGTTTCCAGAGGGGGCATCTCAAAATGTCAAAATTCATGATATTTTCCTGTTTTTATGGAGTAAAACAAAACATGACAGATACCACAGATTTACATAAAAAATAATAACAATGATTGCTATATTCTCAATTTCCTATGTTTAAAATTCCAAGAGCATACATTTGATACTTTTTATTTTATGGCATAATTAATGACCCCGCTGAAAGAACTTCGGTTATTCATAACGTCAAAAACACACTATTACGGCGTCTTTCTACCCATCATTTGAAAATCGTTAAAAAAATCAGTTAATTAAAAACGTAATTAGATTTTTTGACCTCATATTTCCTAAATTTGTTATTTTTTATAAATTATGTAAAACTAGTTGCTTTAAAAGAGTAAATACGCTTTATTTTACTATGCTGCGCGAAGTATTGCGCAATGAAAACCCCAGTCGGCCCCCTTAAATACTTAAGGTAAATATTTTTATTTTTTATTTTTGTTTGACATGTTGATTGAGTTTGATCATGTTACGCCTATTATTAGTGAATATTGAGCATTTTTTCAGCATTTACATGTAAAATGTATTCCAAATGTACCCATGGTTACCACTTTCTTAGAGATATATTTTTAACAGTTTATTTATAGCATAAGTAGTAACAAAGTGTCATATTTTTGTGAGAATGGTTTGTTTGATTTTTCTTAGTCTTTATTACGACTCAATAAAGATTCAAATTAGCTGAAAATCTCAATTTTTCAAACTTTTCTGGCTGTTACCATGGCAACCATGACACAAAGCAGGTTTCTGGTGTCAAGTTGTAATAATGGACAAAGTTTCATCAAAATTGTTGACCATGGTGGCAAAAAAGTTTAAGAAGTCACAGACAATAGCTCTTAAAATTTTAAATCTACACTATGAAATCAAAGTGAAAGCTGTAATGGATTAGAGATCTGACAGCAGTTCTGAGATTTCTTTCTTCCGAGGCAGCATATAAATCTAAACAAACTTAAGTGACAAAATGATATAGCCCTGGAAACTGAAATTGAGTATGAACATGTCCAGCATAAATAGAAAAACAAATAAAAAGCTCCTTAATCTAGGATCCATATTTAGGTTCCTTATAACATTCTGTATATAATTGTGCATGCATTATAAAGACTTCTATTAATACATGACTCTGAATCTACACTGCCAGCAAAGCTGATGGTTATGGATGGATAAGATGTGTGTACATGTATCATTATGCATGATGAGGACTATGATATTTTCCATTGTTTCCTGGTTCTGTTGGCCTGCCTGTACTCTCATTGGAATGGGCAACCTCTTCACTTCATCTCCATTGGCTTCTCTGGTCCAGAATTTGACCTTCTAACAACCTTGACAGGCAAATAGCAACCAGCTACAACAACAAACCATAAACATACAAGTCTATGCAGTACAAACCATAAACATACAAGTCTATGCAGTATATACATATAACTACTGCCAAATCATAATTGTTTGTGGGGGACCAATGTTCATGGATTTCGTGGGTCACACTAACAAATTTACATCCCTATGAAGGATTATTTTGTCAATATATCGATACACTGTATTTTCTGTATAAACAAGCTTCCCATGAAATTATGTCAACATGAACCCACAAATTTGCTTTCCCCCAAACACTGACCCTCATGAATTAAAAGGATTCCACAGTACCATATATGGAATTTATTTTGTTATAATTTTTTTAAATTACCTCTAATACATGCATAATTAAATGTAAACAGATACTGATACTTTGTGTTAACTTACCAGGGGTACAGCAATTCCTATGACAATGCCCCCTACAATAGGGAGCTGAGTCTCTGCTAAGTTAAGAAACATGTCCACACAGCCTATTGTGTAAATCAGAGACAAATCCCCACCCTGTAAAGACAATACACAGACAATTTATTACATGCAAAGAGGAGGATATTTTTTTTTTCATACGAACAGAATCTGATTAAACCTGAAAAAATGAATAAATTCTACATTTGTGATGTAAAGCTATACTGTGGTTTTATTGATAAATTCTACATTTCCGACTTAAGCCACAACTTCTTCCAGTTTTTAAAAAAAAATATTCATAAGTAACATCATGATTTTCTAAAATCAGACAAAATTTATAAAAGGAATACTATTTAATTTTTGATTATTATATAGTAGTAAATGCTGCATCTCTCTATTCACTACAATATAAATGGATTTAACCAAATCAGGATTTTCATTTAGTGTACACTTGTGCAGAGTTTTGTTCTAAATACATAACAATGGCACAGAAACCATGTAGGGGGTAGCCCTAATCTCACAGGCACTTTTTACAGCATCTGATGCTAGAGAGAAGGACACAAATAATAATTCTTTCACATTTACATAAAAAGTGTGTGTGTTTTTTATGTTATACTTACTGCTTTTAGGACTTCTTTTCCACAAAGAATGTTTGGAAGACCACTCTGTAAAAAAGGTAAAAAATAAGTCCCTCATCTTGCCTTGATTATGGTATAAACATAGTTAATCAAAGATTTCGAAGCTCAGCTTGGTGAAAGTTTTCTACGAGAAAGACAAAGTCTCATACCAAATAAATGTTTTGGTAATTTGCATCCCTAGACACAACATTCCATACAAGTTTGGTCAGGGTAGGACTTACAGTATAACTTAGGTATGTACCTATGGGGCTCTAATTGGCGACTAATTTTGTAAAAAATTTTGATTGGCACCTATAATTTTTCCACAAGAAGCCAAATTGGTGACCATTATAAATTGACTTGGGGATTGTCAAATTCATGAAATTTTAACATTTTTATTTTCTGAAACTTTGAAAGCTATATATGGCATATCTGAGCTAAAAAATAAAAATAAAAATATGAGATTGTGTGTAGATAAACATGATATATGTTTTTTACATTCAAATCATTTTCATCAATTTTAGACTTGAATAACCTCATGTTTCCATAGTTATATTGAATTAAACTGTGCCTGTTATTTAAATGTGGAGTCGGTAAATAAATCGGTTATTGTTTTATTGATTTATTTAAATTGTGTAATTTACAGGAAAGCCCTATCTTTACATAAAGCAATAAAACAAATAGAAAGATCTTTTTTTATTTTAGTTAGTCTGAACTTATAAAAAATATGGCATATATGACTTTAAAAGTAAAAGGATATTATTTTTAGCAATGGAGATGTCATGTTTTTTTAAGTCACGTACTTTTTGTGTTTTTAGTAAGCACATGTCCAAACAAAATTTCAAGTCGCATCAGTGCACACATAGGCACAGCTCAGGTAGACTAGGTAAGACAATAGCTTCCCCAGGTAATTGTTGGCTTCAGAAAATCAATAATTATGATATACGGTAAATTATATGGGCTGGTGATGTGGTCACTTGTTTGCCAATTAAATTCTCACTCATTAGAGATATTGACTACATCTTAGTGTTACGTCATACTTGTATGGACGATCATGTTAATCATGTAAACAATTCTCTATACTATTATAGTTTTAAAGAATATTTCATTCAGTCCAAGTTTCTTAAAAAAGAAATGATCTATTAAAATTTTTTGAATATTAAGTTTTATTAGAGTTTTACATGCATGCTTAAGTTAAAGATTGCGTATAACTGACTTATATTTTATGCTGATTTTTTTCTTTACAATTTCTATATTAGGTTTATATTAATTATGGAAAATTAAAAGCAAATATAAATATTTGAATAGCAAAATAAGTCTTCTTGTTTTTTGTTTTACAATTTTACATTGAATATTTCCTAGTTAACATATCTCCTACATATTATCATTCCAAACATGGGGTGGGCGGCAGAGATATTCAAGTCACAACTACTTTCAAAAGCAGAAGGGGCACTAGACACTGTCCTCCCTTGACTACCCAATCAAGGGTCCCTAAATTGATTACTATCTACTTTTAAAGTTGGTGCCTGGCGACTAAAAGTTTGCATTGGCAACAAAATCTTTTTGATAAAGCACCAGCGGCGCCTAAATTTAAGAAGTCACGTAGAGGCCTATACCTCTTACGAAAACTATACTCAATCATCAGCATCAAAAGCAAGTCTGTTAGTGTGAATTCTTTTATGCAAGTTTGTTTAAGGAAGGCCTTTAGTTATTTTGACATAGATACATGTATGTTTCAAAAACTTAAAACTGGTCACTCATAAGGAAAATTCAGGTCAGATATCAATCCAGCATCCAAAGCATGTTTAGTAATGTGAATCCTTAGATGCTTCATCCATGCAAGTTAAATCACTATATGGCTTGAAGGCTACTCAGGAATAGATTATACTCACTGATGTTGAGTCCTGTATTCTACAGCATGAGTATGGCATAGAACAAGCCAGGGGTCTCGGGTTGTCTATGATACAGTTCCCGGTTATACTCACTAATATTGAGTCCTGTATTCTACAGTATGAGAATGGCACAGAACAGGCCAGGGGACTTGGGTTGTCTGTGGTACAGTTGTAATACTCACTGATGTTGAGTCCTGTATTCTACAGTATGAGTATGGCACTGAACAGGCCAGGAGACTCGTATTGTCTATGATACAGTTATACTCACTGATATTGAGTCCTGTATTCTACAACATGAGTATGGTACAGAACAGGCCAGAGGACTCGGGTTGTCTGTTGTACAGTTGTAATATTCATTCTTAGTCCAGTCTTTGTAACTGGTTACACCACAGCATTCAATCTGAAACAACAAAACATTTGAATATCTGTTTTATGTTTTTTTGAAGTCTTCATTGTAATTAATTTTTTTTCTGACTAATTTTTCTACACCATTTTTAATAATGTAATACCAAACACTTTGACTTAGAGACTTTCTTCATTCATTATAGTTAACATATGATGAATGACATCACAAACTAAAATAGACTATTTTAAGTTTGTCTCCCTTTTAATCCACATTTAAGTAATCCACACGTTTAAAATAAAAATGAAAAGAAGGAAATTATGTGACCTCATGCACTTTCTAGGTCAAATAACTGTAAACCACTTTTGCTGCATGATAGACACCTATACTACAGTACATGTATATTCATGACCTTGTTTTTTTTTTTTTTTACCAGTTTTTAGCATACTACATGTAACCAAACACCCTTTAGCTAGATTGACACCCATTAGGTTCTGTTTTCTATTTTTTTCCACCATTAGGCTACATGAGCATTAAGTGTTAAAACATAACATACAGAGCTAATATATACCTTTATTTATGATTGTTGATCTTTTTGTCACAAGGATAAAATTCTTAACTCTATAAAGTTGAAAACAGATTACATTTGCCACAAAAATTTACCCATGTTTCCTTCATAAAAGGCTCAAAATTTTCATAATTTCAAGAAAAGCTACTGTTTTTAAATATATATCACTACTCATGGAGGATATTACAATGTAATGTTTTATGTGTAACTGATTTTATCCTATTACTTACTTCATATATTTAAAAAAAAATCAATAGCTGATATTTCCTTTGATGAGAATGTGTTAAAATAGCACATTTTAAAAAATAACAAAGAATGTGTTTGTACATGTAATACTTAAGTGTCCTTAAAAAAATACTCTCAAAGCCCTCTTATAAAGACAATTATTTACACTTATGACACTTGAACCTAATGATATTAGATAAAACTCAGAGAGAAGAGAAAGTATTTAAAAAATGTTCCTTTTTTAGGGGTATAGACTAACAATGCAGCCATTGGCTGCATTATTAGTCTATACCCCTAAAAAAAAAGTAAGTAAAAGATTTGCTTGCAAGCAATTATTGTTCATCATAAATGTTTATGGTGACATTTTTCTCAATCAGTTTTAATGAATCCATCAGTGTAAAAAAAAAACAAACAAAAAACAAACAAAAAACCCCTTATTTTTACCATATGTTTTAGTTTATAGTTTAGTTTTATAAAACTTGCGAACTAATGTACATGTGTTCGGTCCCTGCAATGCTCTACTCCAGCATTACAGGACATCTCAGAATCTCTGCATGAAAATTTATTGAAAAAGTTAGTTACTCAAATACAATATCTTTTGATTTTGTAAAAAACTCTGTGGTTTGAGATAGATTATCATCAATTTGGCATCTGACTATTCACTAAGATATAACTTTAAACAGGTAAGGTTAACATTCCTTCATTTTTTTTTTACCCACTTCATGCAATAAAGAAATAATAAAATAATAAAAGTACATTTTTTTTAGCAAATCATTAGGGTGGTGCAATATCAATATTTTCTCAACAGGGAAGCATTTACCACTTTTTTTACCTTTGTATTTCTTTGCAATGTCTTTATAATAAACAGGTCGAGGAAACTATTTTTTGTGACATCAGAATAAATTTACATGCTAAATGAGGCACCCAACGTGACTGGCAAACCGACCAATCAGCTAAATGAGTTGCATTATGGGTTACTACAAAAAAATACTACATGTACGTTTCGAAAAGGCCAGATTTTGAAATTGCTCTCGGAAAGGCATGATGCATTTTCGCAAGCATTTTACACATTTAATAAAATATGTACATCATTATCTACTAGTTCCATGCTCACATTTACATACAAATGTTTTATAATGGTAAAATTTGGGTTTTCTCCACTCCATTGTATAAGTCTGTTTGTTGACAATAGCCTGGCAGTTTTTCCCGTGCTGTACTATCAGTCAGTATGAATTTCACGAGACTATTCCCTGGTCCAAAACATATCGACTCTGAGGTGTACTCACGTATTGTCACTGTTTACTATGTATACAACTTTGATATATATGCTACTCAATACACGTTCTATGATCAATGTACATGAGAATTAAAATACCGTACAGCAATAGACTTATGTTTTTTATAACTGCATTAACTTTTAATTTCTATATAGTAAACAAATAACAAAGTAACAACGAATAACACCAGTAGCATGGCAAATTTACGAATATCAAGTTAAAAAACTGGGTTCTTATCTTCTTGTGAAGACTTTGTGAGCGGTATTTCAACGTACTATTTAACACGGAAAATTGACTTTGTTTGTTAATGTGAGCAGGGAAAATCTTAATTAGTACCTATTCTTCGTGTTTTTCACAAAAACATTAAAAATAATTATAAGTTGACTTTCCCGCAGTCATTTGAAATCGCGTCCTAAATTTGCCTGACCCACGTGTTTGTAGTAAAAATATAAACATGTAGTAGACCATCATGCTTTTCGGTTCATTCATTTGACTGGACGATTGCTCACTGTAAGCACCTCTGTGCGCAATGACAACAATATCCATATATGGTAGATTCCTCGACCTGTTAAATATGTAAAAGAATTGAAGCCAACTCATTTAACAGGAGCGAGACAAACATTGAACTCCTGGGTCAGAATCATGATTAACACTTGTAGCTAGTTTTCACCTAGCCAATGCCATGAACATTCAAGCAAAAATAAAACATATCAACTAACAAACTTTAGATTTAACATACATTGAACATAAATTTTCATGACACTTTAAACTATCATTACTTAAAGAAAAGACACAGCCTAGCATTGCCAGAGTACCAAATGTACTTACAGCTTTCTGTTTTATTTTTTTGTTAACACATATGTTTGAATTGTTCATAGATTTACAAGATAATTAGTATCATGCTGTGAAAATACTTCCTATATAACTAGTTCGCCAGAGGATAAATATATTAGAATATTGTATGAAGGACTAGGCAAATCCGTAACATTAATCAACAAAAACATGATATGTCAGAACTATATTTAATTTATATCATTATTTTATAAACAATGAGATGAACTCTACATTTATAACAGAACTATAAAAGTTTAGACAGGTCTTGTTGAAGCTTAAATGCTGTTTTTTTTAAAACTCAACTCTATCAGCAAACCTTTAAACAAAATTCTTGGTTTGCCCTCTCCCAAGCTACAGTCTAAAAATGGCCTGATTGACTCAAAACTGGTTTTTTTTTTTATAAATAACCGTTATGAAGATAATGTCTTGTGAGAACAGGCCAAATGCCTTGGTATTTATTGAATATTTATATTTCCTTCTACTGGCATCATACTTCCAACTCCATCCCTGCAAATGCTTTAAACTTCTTGGAAACTATTAGTTTTTAAAATTCATTTTAAAATTTTCTTTTTCCATCAAAAGCTATTTTAATTCATATTCGCAATTTTTTTTAATGATTTTTTTTTTATCTTGAGCTGAGAGAGGGCAAGAAAACATTTTTTTATAGATGGCCTCTCATGTTCATAATTAAATCAGATAAAGATACATGTAATTGCATCAAAATCTGCAATACAACTTTAACTCACATTCTCTTGTATCCAATCAATAGTGCTCTGTTTATCAGGGTCATCTTGGTATGTGGTGATTAGATTATCCTGCAAAATCTTGGTCACTTCCTCTTTGACAATGTCCCTGAAGACAAACGCTAAAACGATGCCCACTACTAAGACCAGGAAAATGAGGATCATAGAATAATAATACTGAAAAAAAAACACATATTGAGAAATATTGTAGAATCATTTTTGTTCCTAGGAATCAATGTTCGTGGGCAATCAACATTCCACTAGCTCATGGGATGTTATTTCATGAGCATCTTGTATTTATTATATTCAATGTGCCTATTTTTTGACAAAAATTATTGTTCTTGGGTAAGGGAGACCCTCTAAACTCATGGATATTGATCTTCCACAAACAATGATGACTGCACAGTAAATTACCCAAAATGTAAAACACACTGCATGTGTAACATTATACATTCATGTACTTTATATCTGTTTTAATATGAAGCAACTACTGATATATGCCGGTTTCAGAAGTTTAGTATGAACACTAAATCGACTATCAAATATACTTCTTTTGCCTGCATCTCCTCCCCTCTCCTTTCATTTCTGTAACATGCAATTCAAAATATTAAACAATATTGGAAAATTGCAAAACTTGTTCTTTCACCTAGTTGTCTAAAACTTTCTTTAATTCTTTATATAACACACAAAACAGATATCTCTTTACTTGTAAGCAACTCTCTGCTGGACAGACTAACATGAATACACACTTGCATTGTAAGTCTATTTGATATCATTATACTTACAACTTTAAGAAGGCAGATGTTTTCCCTGAGTGCCCCTATACATCCTGCATAGCCCAAAATGAAGATGATGATTCCGATGATAAGGAAGATGATTGAGATGTCAAATATCACATCATACACAGTAGAAATGTCTTTCTGATAATATTTGTTCTTCTCAATAAATGCCCATACACCGATGCCTATAATAACTCCACCAAATAACTGAAAAAATAACAAACATATGAAAGAAAGTTATAACAGTACCGTATTTAACAAAATAAATGATTTATAAAGAGCTTTGACAGAAAAACTGGGGAATGGGACTTGACATTGCTCATATTTGGATTTTGCAAAATAAAAAAAAAGGATACTAAAAACATTTCTGGTCGCTCTCAGACATCAACTGATAGGAAAACATATTGTGTTGTACATGTTGTAATGTCTAAAATATTAGAATAAGATAATCATTAAACACAATCTTGGTTTGAATATGCCATTATGGTTTAATCATTCATCCTCTCTGTAAAGCCACCAATGTTCCTGGTATTTTTCCACTCAAAGTTTATTAATCATGTTTTACTGAGCTGTGAAGAAAAAAGAATTTAAAAGCTGAACAGAACAGACAAACTTTAGTTAATTACTAGATATGCTACTGATAACTGCTTAGTAATTAACCCTGAGCATAAAAAACATTGACTGCCAGAGAGTTATTTTTTGATAATTTTAATAGATAATGTAAAGCTATTTTAAACATCACACTGTTTGAAGTAGGATTTTCCTCTAAATGGTATATCAATGTCATTTTATGGTACAAGGACATTAAAATAACTCTTGAATGGACTATCAAACTTAGTAATAATATATATCTAGTACATGTATATATAAAATCAATGACTTATGGTGCTCTTGAATTGAAATAAATGATACTTTACATTAATAACTGATTTCTTTGAGAAAAATCTTGAGGTCCTAACTCCTAGGTACATGTTTAATTGTTTATTGCAATATGAGTTTTGCAATTTGTATATTACTGAAATACTTTTTGGAAGTATACAACAGAGTTCTTGGAAAATGTCATTTTGAAAGATTTCCCAATTAAAAGTCTGCCTGTCTGAGGGGAAGTGCTATCTTAGCAGTTCAATCATCTGAAATCAAGAGGGGGGGGGGGGGGGGGGGAGTCTTCTTATACTTCCTGTATTTTTGATTTTCAAGACTTTTCTATGAAAGTTACTGATCTTTCAAATGAAAAGTTAATGATCTTTCAAACATTTATTTTCTTAATAAGTGATGAAGTAATATGTCTTACTGTGGAAGACTCTCAAAGGAATGGATGAATCATGCCCCCCCCCCCCCCCCCCCCAAGAAAAAACATAGGTAATCAAAGATTACGAAGCTCACCTCGACGAAGGTTATCTATAAGTAAAGCAAATCTCACATCATATTTTTTCTAGTTAGTGTACATCCCAAGATCAATATCTATACAAGTTTGGTTTAAGAAGGACTTATAATTACTTGGAAATAGACCTGCTCAAAAAACTTTAACCTGGTCACTCATCTGGAAAATCTAGGTCAGATTCAGCATCCAAAGCAAGTGTGTAGTGTTCATCCCTATATGCATCATCCATGCAAGTTTGGTCCAGGTAGGGCGTATAGTTACTTGGGAATGGACCTGCTCCAAAAACTTTAACCTGGTCACTCATCTGGAAAATCTAGGTCAGATCCAGCATCCGAAGCAAGTGTGGTAGTGTCCATCCCTAGATGCATCATCCATGCAAGTTTGGTTCAGGTAGGGCTTATAGTTACTTGGGAAAGGATCTGCTCCAAAAACTTTAACCTGGTCACTCATCTGGAAAATCTAGGTCAGATTCAGCATCCGAAGCAAGTGTGGTAGTGTCCATCCCTAGATGCATCATCCATGCAAGTTTGGTTCAGGTAGGGCGTATAGTTACTTGGGAATGGACCTGCTCCAAAAACTTTAACCTGGTCACTCATCTGGAAAATCTAGGTCAGATTCAGCATCTGAAGCAAGTGTTGTAGTGTCCATCCCTAGATGCATCATCCATGCAAGTTTGGTCCAGGTAGGGCTTATAGTTACTTGGGAATGGACCTGCTCCAAAAACTTTAACCTGGTCACTCATCTGGAAAATCTAGGTTAGATTCAGCATCTGAAGCAAGTGTTGTAGTGTCTATCCCTAGATGCATCATCCATGCAAGTTTGGTCCAGGTAGGGCTTATAGTTACTTGGGAATGGATCTGCTCCAAAAACTTTAACCTGGTCACTCATCTGGAAAATCTAGGTCAGATTCAGCATCCGAAGCAAGTGTGGTAGTGTTCATCCCTAGATGCATCATCCATGCAAGTTTGGTCCAGGTAGGGCGTATAGTTACTTGGGAATGGACCTGCTCCAAAAACTTTAACCTGGTCACTCATCTGGAAAATCTAGGTCAGATCCAGCAGCCGAAGCAAGTGTTGTAGTGTCCATCCCTAGATGCATCATCCATGCAAATTTGGTTCAGGTAGGGCCTATAGTTACTTGGGAATGGACCTGCTCCAAAAACTTTAACCTGGTCACTCATCTGGAAAATCTAGATTAGATTCAGCATCCGAAGCAAGTGTGGTAGTGTCCATCCCTAGATGCATCATCCATGCAAGTTTGGTCCAGGTAGGGCTTATAGTTACTTGGGAATGGATCTGCTCCAAAAACTTTAACCTGGTCACTCATCTGGAAAATCTAGGTCAGATTCAGCATCCAAAGCAAGTGTGTAGTGTTCATCCCTATATGCATCATCCATGCAAGTTTGGTCCAGGTAGGGCGTATAGTTACTTGGGAATGGACCTGCTCCAAAAACTTTAACCTGGTCACTCATCTGGAAAATCTAGGTCAGATACAGCATCCGAAGCAAGTGTGGTAGTGTCCATCCCTAGATGCATCATCCATGCAAGTTTGGTTCAGGTAGGGCTTATAGTTACTTGGGAAAGGATCTGCTCCAAAAACTTTAACCTGGTCACTCATCTGGAAAATCTAGGTCAGATTCAGCATCCGAAGCAAGTGTGGTAGTGTCCATCCCTATATGCATCATCCATGCAAGTTTGGTTCAGGTAGGGCGTATAGTTACTTGGGAATGGATCTGCTCCAAAAACTTTAACCTGTTCACTCATCTGGAAAATCTAGGTCAGATTCAGCATCCGAAGCAAGTGTGGTAGTGTCCATCCCTAGATGCATCATCCATGCAAATTTGGTTCAGGTAGGGCCTATAGTTACTTGAGAATGGACCTGCTCCAAAAACTTTAACCTGGTCACTCATCTGGAAAATCTAGATTAGATTCAGCATCCCAAGCAAGTGTGGTAGTGTCCATCCCTAGATGCATCATCCATGCAAGTTTGGTCCAGGTAGGGCTTATAGTTACTTGGGAATGGATCTGCTCCAAAAACTTTAACCTGGTCACTCATCTGGAAAATCTAGGTCAGATTCAGCATCCGAAGCAAGTGTGTAGTGTCCATCCCTAGATGCATCATCCATGTAAGTTTGGTCCAGGTAGGGCTTATAGTTACTTGGGAATGGATCTGCTCCAAAAACTTTAACCTGGTCACTCATCTGGAAAATCTAGGTCAGATACAGCATCCGAAGCAAGTGTGGTAGTGTCCATCCCTAGATGCATCATCCATACAAGTTTGGTTCAGGTGGGGCGTATAGTTACTTGGGAATGGACCTGCTCCAAAAACTTTAACCTGGTCACTCATCTGGAAAATCTAGGTCAGATCCAGCATCCGAAGCAAGTGTGGCAGTGTCAATCCCTAGATGCATCATCCATACAAGTTTGGTTCAGGTGGGGCGTATAGTTCCTTGGGAATGGACCTGCTCCAAAAACTTTAACCTGGTCACTCATCTGGAAAATCTAGGTCAGATCCAGCATCCGAAGCAAGTGTGGCAGTGTCCATTCTAGATGCATCATCCATGCAAGTTTGGTCCAGGTAGGGCTTATAGTAACTTGGGAATGGGACTTGCTCCTAAAACTTTAACCGGGACGCCGACGCTAACGCCGACGCCGGGGGTATAGCATAAGCTCATCTAGACTTCGTCGAGGTGAGCTAAAAATATAGATTATGAAATGTGAAATTGAGAAGGAATGTAATAAAACATACATACATGTAAAAGATTACAAGATCATATATTTGTTCTTCGTTTAATTTAAAAAGTGATATGGGAACAAAAAAAAAAGTACATTTCAGTCCTCAATGAATACTTATGACACAAGCTTAGCAATACTCAAGTGTATGCAATGTTCAGTTAAAAAGGGAAAGAATGAAGAACTTGAATCAGCTGTTTAAAGATCAAAAGTGTCCAAAATTCCTGTTAACAAATGAATATAATGCTGTATATCATAAACAAGCTTTTCCTCCAATTTTTAAGATTTATGGATCAGTCAGTGCATAGTATATAGTAAAGTGCAATAAAACAAAATAGCACTTGCTTTTATCTAAGAAGAGACCCTTTAATAACTGAGGGGAAAAAGACTCCTTAATTGAATGGGTCTGTATAAAGTGTTTAACTGCCTCTGATGTCATATCAGTCTGACTAAATCAATATCCTACAGGGGGTTACAATATCATGTAACAAACACTGGTCATTTACCCGCTAGGGCATGAATATGCATCTATACTGTTATGTCAACCGCAGGAACCACATCCATTATAAATAAAAATAATGTTTTGTCAGTAAAGTCAGAGTTCAGTCTAGTTCAAACATGCTGTATGAAAATTTACAATCAGTACATGAAGTACATGAAGTACTTGAAAATTTTGAATGCTGCTTTATATATGAAAACTTTGCATGGTACACTGAGTGTACTATTACTTTTTGACCTTTCATCAATGAGCTGTGTTACTGATGTCTACATTCCATTTCAATCTACATTTCCCACATTCTACAGATATTTAAAATCATAACAAGTGCAGATCAGATTATCTGTCTTTTTTTTTATACTATTTTTTTCATGAAAATATATATTCTGTGTATATGGCACAAGTAATAAGAAACTCAGTCTGTATATAGGAGTCTAATTTTAAATTTTATGTTTTAATTTTATATTGTATGTTAAAAAGACAGTAGCACACTATCCTGCATTGCATATTTCTTTAATATATATACATAATTAAATATACATGTAAATAATACTATATATTAAAAATTAACTCATTTAACACAGATTAAAACTAGGATCTATTTAATTTTTTTTTGTGTAAACAGGAACATAATCCATCATTCAAAATATCCCTGACAACAGGATGTGTATACTTAGATTGTCAATGTATGTTCATTTTATACACTACACTTACAGGGTTTTTTTTTTTTTTTTTAAATATAGCCATAAACGGAAAGATACAAGTCATCTGTTCAAATAGAGCATTAAAGAAATGGGTTTTCAACCTTTGACAAGTCAACCACAACTACATTTATTGACAAATAATTTACAACCAACCACTTCAGAAAGATTTTGTCAAAGATTTTGCCTGCAGATAAAAATATGTGCTTGATTTCTTTCGTTAGTGGGTGTGGTGCAAGGTTTGCTGACTCTCTATTTTTTAATTGTGCGTACACTTTAAAATTCATTGTTTTTTGTTGTCATTTTGTACTAAACAATTCAATCACTTGAAGTGAATTGGAAATACAGTCATGTAAATTTGGTATACAACCCAATAAACAATGAAACATTTTATTTTAAGTGCAAATTTCACAAGAAAATCATTTGTAGAAGATTGATAGAAATCCTTTTTTATGTGAGTTTTTATTTCGATACTGCATCATTAATACATGGGAAATGATTCATTACATTTCCTTATCTGAATATTTATTTAGAGTGATGTTTTGATATTACAGGTATTTTATTATATTCTAAATGCGTTTTAAGAAAAGAGATGTTTGTTGAACAGGAAGCTTTATAAATATGATGTAGGGTCGCTCTATATTTCTTCTTCTTGAGCTAAACTTTAAGTGCATTACTTGAATAAATGCACTTTATAAATTTTAATAAAGAAAAAAATTCTATAAATATTGTATCATTGTAAAGAGAAGACAGCAACCTGATCTGTACCATTGACAGAATATTTTAGACACAGAAGACACGTCAAGATGTTATGACTTCCTAGCTTTCAAAGAAATACTTACAACCACCTCCTTATACCATGATAAAAACTGAGAACATGATCTTATATTAAAAATGATATAAACACATGATAAATATTCATGATGAACTTAATCTTCTCTTTTTCTTTTTCTTAAAAAAAAATATGAATTTAACTCTTTTTTTTAATAACATAGTATTTATCACACTTAAATTTATACACCCTCTAAGGTATATTGTTATATATATATATATATATATATATATATATATATATATATATATATATATATATATATATATATATTGTCTTTATAAGTGTTTTATATATTTTAAGTATTTTATTTATCAAAATTATTAGATCTCACATCTATTATCATCTGTTCTGTGAATATGAAAGTACAACTGTTTTTCCAGCTTCTCTCTCTCTCTCTCTCTTTTTTAAAATACCAATTTTAAAAATACCAATATTATCTAGTCTAATACGACACACACACAGGCTAATGATAAATTTCACTTGTAACGGATAACGTTATGGATTGTACCCTTCGGGCAAAACTTAGTTCTCTATTAGAATCAGAATGGTCAGTATATATGTACTTACCCAACAAGCAAAATTGAAGAAAAAGAGTGTGTACTTGACACAGGGGCTGACTAAAGTTCTCTCATTGCTAAAACACCCCATATCAATAGAAAAATTTACTGTTTATACTGCGGGAGTGACATCATTCCAGGTCGGATGTGGGCTGTGAACTCATTCGCGCGTTATATTTTCGAAGGTCGAACCCGATCTATACATGCTTCCAGATCGTAGAGGAAGTGAAAATATCTTTTTTAATAGCTAACTTCTAACTGAATTTATTTATAAATTTCCTGTTCTAATTTTTTTGGCTTTGAAATTAGACCCAGATTGGTGGAGGTGTAAGGTTTTGAAAGAACTTCAAAGAAATGTTAATTTTACTACTACTTAATGTAACCAACCATATTCAAGAATTAATTATAATATATATCTTACTGACTACTGGTGTACCAAGTCTTATTGAAATCGGACCCAAAATAGAGGTATAGAGTTTTAAAAGAATTTCACATAATTTTTCATTTTTATATTAATCATATGACAACACTATTGCTAGCGCTGTTCGTCATATCAAAATCCAGTTCATATTCATAAACATGATAGGTAATCGAAGACTTCAGAGCTTACCTCAACGAGTGTTATCTTTAATAAGGCAAAGTACCACATTAAACCAAAAATCCAGTTCATATTCATAAACATGATAAGTAATCGTAGACTTCAGAGCTTACCTCAACGAATGCTATCTTTAAGGCAAAGTACCTTAATCTATTAATCAGCATCGCTTGATGCAATATTTATAATTTATATAAATGCAATTTCGGTCCGATTATGCTTGCAGTTACTTAAGAATGGACTTGTTCTAATTTAAACTTTAAACTAGTCACTCATCCAGAAAATGTAGGTCAGATCCAGCACCTGTAGAAAGTTTGAGAATGTTCATCCCTTGAAGCATCATTCCTGCAAGTTTGACCTAAGTAAGGCTTGAAGTTACACTGGAATAAGTCTGCTCCCAAAACTTGAACCCTATCTGGAAAATATAGGTCAAAACCAGATCTGAAGCAATTCTGGTAGTGTGCATCCCTTGATGCATCATGCATGCAAGTTTACTTGAGATAGGCCTTATATATATATATAGTATCTTGGTAAGGGGCCTACTCACCAACTTATCCTCTCCGTGGCCCGGAGGACGCATGAGACCGTTCAACAAAGAACGCCACCTACAGCGGTCACTGGCAACAACCTGCCCCTCCTTCCAGCTGCTCCAACCCAGTTCACGGTCAGAAAAGTTATGTGTAGATACAGGCCTTGTCATCATCTGCATTTTGCTCTTTTAAGGATTTTTTTAATTTCTAAATTTTAATCATTTTTTTTTTTGCATAAATACTTTTAGAGAGTGTTACTTTTATCTATTTGTTATGGTACCGGTGTTCTGCAGGTTTCATGCATTTCGCTCGGCCCAGTAAATCAAAATTAAGTCATTTTGTGTCGAAATATATTATATATCAAAAGAATGTGGTGCATTGGCAATGAAATTCAAATAAACAAAAGTACGAAAAAAGGGGGGAGAGAAGGGAAGATCTTTTACGGCTTCTCCTTCTCTCTCAACAGAGCGTCGCTAGGTGTTCTTTGACCGGCTCCTTCTTCTCTTTCCCGTAGAGGCCCACGTGTACACTGTTCTTATATGTGAGCTGTATTCCCTTCGGAGGATGTGGCCTATCCATCTCCATCTCCTTCCTTTGATCGTCCTTGATAGGGGTATGGATCATTTGTTGTTTGAATATCTTCTCAGGCCAGTATATTTTTAGGATCCTCCTAAGGCATCTCCGATGGAATGTGTCCAGCTTTTCATCGTCTTTCTCGGTGGTTCTCGATAGTTCAGAACAATACAGCAGTACAGATAAAACATTTGTGTTGAAGATCTTAAGTTTGGTCTTTGTGCTGTATTGTGCTGACTTCCATACTTTGGTAAGGGATGCGAAAGCAGTCCTGGCTAAGCCTAGCCTTCTCCCTATGTCTGCCTCAGTTCCTCCCGTCTTGTCCATTGTGGCACCCAGGTAGAGGAATGTTTCAACATCTACATCCTTGTCATTTATCCTGATGGCATTCTTTTTCCCGTTTATTCTATGATCAAATGACAATCAGGGATGTTTCAAATTCACAGAAAATTACAAAGGCAAACAACATTTCTTTTTATTTGATACTTAGACCAGAATACATGTGCACTGGTGGATTTAGAGGGGGGCCCGGGCCCCCCTTTTGTGTCCAAAATATACATAAGATTTAATAAATCAATTTTTTGGTGCGGCCATGGGACCCTACCCTGACCCCAAACTGGTCGGGCCCCCTTTTCAAGATTCCTGGATCCGCCACGGATGTGTAAAAAACATAATAAACTTTTTTTCACTATATAAAATCGCAATATTTTTTCGATTTTTTTTTTCATGGGGGATACCCCTCCCCCCACCCGCCCCTCAAGATAGGTTGAACCCTTCTCATACTGGCACTTCGCGCCTGATGAAGTGACTTCAATTAGCCTACACATGACCAGAAAGGAATATATACGCCACTGTCATCCATGCATATTTGGAAAACAAATGTGCACAAAGTCATGAAAGTTTAGGATGCAAAACACTTGTATATACATACGGAAGCCCATTTAGGACCTATCAAAAATATTTTTGAATTCTATATAACGCATTGTCGAATTTTAATTCGTTACTACAAAATTTTTGAATTCGTTATAACCCATTAAATCTGTTATAATACATGTTGAATTTGTTATTATGAAATCAAAAATATATCATAACAGATTAAATTCGTTTATAAGAATTCAAAAATTTGTTATAGCGAATTAGAATTATAGCGAATTTTAAATTTGTTAGATTTTTAACTTTTTTAAAATTTTGTTTAATCGAATCGAGATTTATGGCCTGTAGGAAAATATTTATGAATTCAATTTGTCAAATTCGTTTAAACGAATTAAATTTGTTATAACATATACATATAAAAGAGTTTGTAAATCAATAATTTTATTACGGAAGCCCATTTATAAATGAGAGTCAAGTATCTGTGCATACCCAATAATGTCAGGAGTGCAGCATTTGATGTTTTGCTCCCCAGCATGAATTTTTTTTTATCAGTATACGATTCTCTGGTTTTTATTTTGGAAAATAAAGAGACAAAGAACATTTTTACCAAATAAATGTATCAATTACAGAGTCTGTGTTTCAGATCTTTATATGTATGGTCAGGAGTGCAACACATTTTTTTTAAAGATTCAAGTTATATTATGAAAAGACCTCTATTCATGCTAAGAAATATTCTTTGATTAATAATGATCTATTTGAATAATATAGAACTAAATTAATGACAGTTTTATTATTCAAATCCTTTTCTTTTTCATTTTTATTAATTCAGACGTGTTTTTTCTTTACCTTTTCTCTTATTTTTTTATGAATGTAAAAAATAAACACACAGAAAAATTGTCATAAAATTCAAGTAATTCCACCTCAACTTCAATGAAACAACAGAAAAAGTTCTGATGTAATTTTCGCTTCACAATTCTACTTTTAAGACTCCCCTGCTCTTGGTCAGGAGTGCAACAAATATGTTAGAATTATTGCTGATCAAATATGAATAAATATAAAGAAAAAAAATAATGAGTGGAATGTTTCTGGTTGACCTCAGTTGCTTACGGTGTTTGTCCTGTGAAGGAAAGTATACTATAAAATATATTTTATCTTCTAAAAATATATTTAAAATATATATAAAAATATATTTTAGTTAGTTTTTTGACTTAAATAGGGAATGATTCAAGTCAAATTTAAATACTTTGATGTTTCATAATATTATGAAGTATTGGACTATAAATATTGCACAATTTCGTTACCACTTGAGTTGTCAACACTTTATGAATTTTTGTGTTCTATGGTTTTAATTTTTAATTTTACTGCATTCAGGGGTGCAACAAAACTGTTTTAGAATTATAAATAATCTTCGTCAAATTTTACTAAAAATGAATTTCAGAAACAAAAATGTTTGATACGACATGTATTTGATGTTCAAAACATGATGTCTACATTTAACAGTCAATTCAGAGAATAATTTTCATAACATATTTTTGAAAACAATGTATACACATTACACATTGCAAATAATCATGTTTTAAACTTGCCGTAAATGATAAAAAAATATCAAAACGATGAACTGATTTACAAAGTAAGAATGGGTTATTGTGTGTTATAATTTTTAAAACAATGTTAAATAAAATACATTTTAGATGTCAGGAGTGCACCACAATAATGTAAAATAGGGTAACTTCAAAATCTAGTATTTTTTGTATTAGAAACTTGTAGATCAAAATTCTTTCTTGGCTTAGATTTAAAGAATTGACATAAATGTACAAAAAGTGATTTTAGGGGAATCTTATTGTTTCATATTTCTTTCATATGAAAACTTTTCAAATCGGGATTGATAAAATAATGTAAAATTACAATCAACAAGCTAATTCAGAGAATTTGTGTCCCCCGCTTAGGGAAAAAAGACGAGCATGCGCAGTTCGGGGGGTTGGGGTTGGGTTGGACCCCCCTCCCCCCCGGATTTGTAGAATTATTAAATGTATACATGTATATTGAAGCAAATAAAAATGCCAATATGGATATAAAGATTTGATTGCTTATTTTTTAATATGCGTATAGAAGATTCTTTTTATATAGAATATTTATTACACTGTAATAATGATTTTATGGGTTTGTACAAGCCAGAGTCATAACTTTTTCATTTCACATGCTGAATACTATTATTTAGTAAATCCAAAAAAAAAACAAACAAACAAACAAACAAACAAACAAACAAAAAAAAAAAAAAAAAAGAAATTAAAAAAAAAAGGATTGTCCGGGATTTGAACCCGGGACCTCTCACATGCTAAGCGAGAGTCATACCCCTAGACCACGGAGGCACTTGATTATATAGCAAATTGACTGCAAACATTATGTCACATATAATGTTTATATTGTCAAAATTTTACACAATACATGGTGTCTAATATAGCCTTTACTAAACAGTTCTAATAGATGTTATTAGAATATAAAGTCCGCCAACAACCTGTATTATAACTCTCCACATGCCCCTGTGCTAAAAATAGTGCCAAGCGGCTTTTAATACAATAAATAATAATAATAAAAAAAACGGGGCGGGACACTTTGAGAGGGGCGAGAGAGGCCCTAGGGTGTTATGGTATTAAACTTCATTGCAAAAGCTCAAAAGTTTCTTGAGATATCGCCCGAAAACGAAAGTGTTACACACAGACGGAATGTATAAATTTACGACCTTGAACTTTGACCTCAAAATCAATAGGGGTCTTCCTTAGGCCACAGGGAATTGTTATGTAAAATTTCATTGCGAAAGCTCAAAGGGTTCTCGAGATATCGCGCGGAAACTAAAGTGTTACAGACAGATAGAAATACAGACGGACGGACGGACAGACAAACCCAAATTAATATCCCCCACTTTCAGTGAAAGTGGGGGAAAAAAGCAATTTTTTCCACATATACAAGACAAGAAACTAAATCAAGGTTTAGATCTAATCATTTATATCCCCGATACCATTTTGAAGCATGAAAAACTATAATTACTTTTGATTATGTATTTTAGAAAGTCTTTTAGGATGTAGTGATATTTTCTTTTTTCAAAGAAAAATTTACTTATAAAAATTCTGACACTTTTTGTTATCCAATTGCCTATTCTATCATGTCTATTGTAACTTCAGGAATTTTAACTAGAATGCACGTACAATATGTTGATAAAGTGAAAAATATTCTATGGGTAGTTGAATTTTTTCAAAAAAAAAAAAAAAAAAATCAAATCAATTTAGTGGTCATTATTTTTGAATTCACTCAACTTGCTCCTTATGGTCTACTTCCATGATTCTCCTCTTGCGCGTCATTTAAGACCGTATTTTGAGGATCTTGTTTGACCTTTGGATTGTTAATTGTTTCCAAGGTTGAACTTATATCTATTTCAATACATTCTTGTAAGAACTTAAAATTCATCCTGCCATGACCTATATACATAAATACTACATAAATGTACTTTTTTTTTTTTACGGAAGCCCATTTAGGACCTATCAAAAATATTTTTGAATTCGATATAACGAATTGTTGAATTTGTTAAAACGAATTTAATTCTTTTTGAATTCGTTATAACGACTTAAAATTTGTTATAACAATGGCCTTATCAGCAAATACAATTTATCATTAAGTCAAATGCTGACTGACGTTTTTCATTCTAATTGTTAGGCCATTATTCACACACTGAATTGTCCACGGATTTTTCCGTTATTTCCCGATCATGACAAGGAGCACACGACGGGTGTGGCCGGTCGGCAGGGGATGCTCACTCCTCCATGGCACCTGATCCCACCTCTGATGTTTTAGAGGTCCGTGTTTGCTCTGCTCCAAAATTTGCACTGTTTAATGGACTTTTGAGCTTGAATACAGTTCGTTATCTCCGTACATTTCATTATAATAAAATTGTTGAATTTGTATAACGAACTCAAAAATTTGTTATGACAGATAAAATTCGTTAAAACAAATTCTAAAATTTGTAATAACGAATTAAATTCGTTTAAATTAATTCTAAAATTTGTTATAACGAATCATATATAGTCATTTATATTAATCAAATTCTACAATTAGTACCCATGGAAAGTACATTTGTGAAGTGTATTTGAGAATTCGATATAAGGCATTGTCGAATTCTTTTTAACGAATTTTATTTATTTCAAAAAAAGTGATATCACTTATTCGAAAAGGTGATATCACGTATTCGAATAAGTGATATCAACTATTCAGTTTGAATGAATGATATCATTTATTCGAATAAGTGATATCACCTATTCGAATTGGTGATATCACTAAATGGCAATAATTACCAAAATGGCGCCTCATATAAATTCGTTTTAACAAATTCGACAATTCGTTATATCAAATTCAAAATATTTTTCTAAATGGGCTTCCGTATTTTTTTTAATCGATTCATTATAAATGATAAGTTTGACCATACCACAAGCTCCCTGTGGACTACTTCCAGCATCTTCCTCTTGAGCGTTTTGCTGATCTGGTTTGACTTTTTGGTTATTGTTTTGTAGGAGACGTCTTCTTCTCATGTGGAAGTTTCGAATAAATTCTTTTACAAAAAATGTAGAATATGTCGGCTATTAAGGACGAGAATTGGCGACCATGAGTTCTTTAAAAGTGGATTATAGTGTGATGGTTTTAATTTCGCTATGTTCGCGATCAAAGAATTTTCCAAGAACATTAAGCCATCGTGAATATTGTCGACATATCAAAATAGTGTATATATGTTAAATACAAAAAAAATTCCATACACCTTTAAAAAAAAGAAAACTATTATTTGTAATATAACTATTCTTTTTCCATATGTATAAAAGAGTTGACCATTGAAAATCATTTGGAAACGCGAGTTAATAACAACGGCTGTTTAAAGTTAGCTAAAATGTTATACATACATCTATTTATGTAGTTCACAATAACTTTCTTTGTATATAATAAGGAATTTTTTTTTTTCAAAATTACAAATATCTTCTGAAGGAAAATTTCATATCCGCCAAACTAAATAGAACGTGAAATGTACAAGTAAAGAAAATCGTGAAATATTGACGTTTACAGTACCCCAGCAGATTGTTGCTTTATTGGAAGAATTTGTTTACAAAGACTATATATAATTAGATGTTGTCAAGGAGGAACCCCAGCAGCCTTTTAATATCAACTTCGGAGTACTGGTGTGAAGAATCGAAGTGCTTTTTCCAAAGTAATTTGAAGATGGCCCATCACAAGATAAGACAATTTCCGAGTTCCATCTTTATAGAGGAAGCAGTCGTATATGATATCAAAAAGCATAGTTTTTAATTTATCATATGGACTGGTTGTATAATTATAGAAATTGTAGAAAAGTCATCATTTCAATGATAAACTTTTGAAAAAGTCTGTGATTTGAAATTTTGAAATCGAAATTTGACCTTTGAAGCAGTTAAAATTTTTGTAAAGTAAATTAGCGTGAAGTTTATTGTGAGTAAAGATAAGGGCTTGTTAGAGCTTTAGCTAGACAAGACAATACATTTTTCTTTGTAAGGATTTTTATATTACGTTTAAGAATTCAAATGGGCACTAATTGGGTTCATTCCTTTATTAGCCGATCTGTTTTCATAATGTTATGAAGAAGAATTTGATAAAAAATTTCTACGTGAGAAGAATAAAACTTTTGCTATGGCCTTCAATTCGACATTTAGATACAGTGTATATCGACGAGGTTTTATCAATAAACAATAGATACTTCCATTCGTTTGTCTACTTGATATACCCTAGTGAACTCGAAATAAAAGAAACCACAGCGTTTCCATATCTGTTTCACATTTAGATATTTTACTGACTATAGACGATAAGGACCAATTAACAACTAACTGTATGACAAACGAGATGATTTCAGCTTTTCCACCATCAACTTTCCTTATTTATGTAGTAATATTTTCGTCATCACCTGCATATTGTGTTTATGTCCCGCAGCTTATTCAATACCATGCTATGAGTACGATTAATTTTTTAAATCGAGACAGGCTATTGACAAATATGTTGATGTTACATGGATTTCAACAACCTTGTGCAATGTCAGTTAAATTTAATGTAAATGTTGATGACAGAAAAAGGTTTTTAAAAATACAAAATATCTTAACATCTCGTGACGTATAAGTACGTTTCAATATGGCGGCTTCCATGTTGAATAAAATAAAAAGTCGCTTCAAGACATCGTTCTAAAATAATATTTTAGTGGATTATGTCTGTTGTCATATAATATGTGAAGGAGAAATCTGTGAAATATTTTGTTCCTGGCATGAAAACCTTGATAAATTGCAAGAAATTTACTGCAAACGAGTGGCGAAATGGCAGAATGATAAGAAAAGAAACTAAACAAAATTCTTTTATAATTTTGGTTTGACAGTTTTTGGTTTGATTTCAAATAAAATTGGTACACAAGTGAACTAAACAATGAATTAAAATTTTGTATATTGGTTTAAGATTTTGTTGAATTGTGTTATAGTGTGACTAAAACAATAATCTTTGATATTTTTTTTTAAAAAGCTACCCCTACCACATTTTTGATTTGACTTCAATTATAGATGAAACATGGATTTAAAGCATCACGATTCATAATTTGTAAATGCGAAACTAAAAAACCTAACTTAATCACAAATTCTCGTGACCCATTTGAAAGTTATAAAATTCGAACAGTCTATAATTAATGTTGTAATGGAGAAAAAGTCTCTTCAATCCATCATTATATCACACCTCATTATACAATAGACAGTTCTTGATATCCATGTGCGATAATTCGTTCAATGTCATCACGCATTGAAGACATAAATCAAATCTTTAGATTAATTTACTATTACGAATAGGTGGTTTCTGAGCTTTAATATGTTACGTTACATTATCATTAATTACATTAAAGAAAACTTTTATTTATCAGCAAGGACAATATACGTCTTATTTAACAGTAAATACAGGAGAAAAAAACAGTGTCTGCCAGTATATGTAATAACCATATATGATGCTCGATTTTTTGTCGGATTTTGTAAATACTTATTTCTTTATAAGTTATCCCACTTTGTCCTTTAGAGACTCTGTGCCAGTATTCGTATTACGGCTTACAAGATTTTGTTGATGATTTCGTACACGCACAACTTGGTTGCTTTATGACAAAAACTAGCAGAACATAATTATTTAATTTTCTTTAGTCTTTATTTAATATTTGACAAAATACAATTTATTAGAAAAATTAAGAAATATATGGATATAAAAGAAAAAAATATCTGTTTTTCAAAGTGCAAGTTCAAAAAGCATTATAATAATTGAGAAAGATTTTATTAGTACATGTGAGTAGATTTTTTAAAGTGTTTTTTTCTATTAAAAATGTTTTGAAAATATACATTGCATCTCACATCAATATAGAAAATATCACCCGTAAAAACGATTAAATCTTCAATAAATAAATAAATAATTTCAGTAATATTAAAATTGAGAGAGAGAGAGAGAGAGAGAGAGAGAGAGAGAAATAGATTTTATGCAATTTAAAGATAAACTAAAGCCTGATTCCGGATTACACTATACGCTGATTCAATTTCTGGTATCAAAGCTACTGCAGTCTGTATTCTATTCAGCATCCACAAGGCAAACATTTTCCTTTTGCCAGTTCCTAAACGTCTGAATTTTACAATATATGAACAAGGAATATAAACATTGTCTTCAGAATTAACAGTGGGTAAAAATTGGAGATAACACAGAACATTTTGTAGGGTGTTGTCTGACCATCCGATCGTTAGAGATTTTTGTATGGCGTATCCAGTATGAAGAGGTTTCATCAATAAAGAGGTTTCTGTGAGGAGTTCCACCAATCGCAAATGAGCACGAGTCTTTGAAAAAAATATAAATTCTTTGTTATACTAATCAACGATAAAAGTATCAATAGCAACATGAACAGACACCAGTAATAAAAGTATTTGAATTTTTTTCATTTTTTTTTTTTGACATATACTTATATTGTACGAGGTAATTAATTGCTGGGAGAATGATGAGAGAGTAAAACATACAATTGAGGCAAATTGGAAACTTACAATTTCACAGCTTCCTGTGACTTCAGTAGAGATTGTCAAGTCCTCTGCAGTTTCAATTTGGTTAATAAGGGAGATGTCATCTCCAAAAATCGTTCTTTCCTGTCGAAAAAGGATTTTTCATATAATTGTTTAAGAAATAAATACACACGATATTCAAACACTCTCTACGACATTGCCTTTAACCTAGTCGATTTAATTGATTATATACACCATTTACTGGCTTAGCTTTAAGTCATTCGATTTAAATGATTATCAATACTAATTAATAGCTTATCTTCATGTTATCCATTTTTTTTTTTGGATTTAAATCCCTCCATATTACAGACGGGTAAACCGGGCATCTAAGATTTTAACTGCTTTATAAAAATCACATGTTAACTGGTACATCTAGTCTTTCGACTTTGATATTTTTCATCTGGTGACAAAATTATAAGCATCCACAGTGAAAAAAATATATTCTTACATATTCTCGTTTGGAGTTGTTAAGATGCTCGGTTAACTCCCAGACTGAGCTCCTGAGATTGTTTAAGGTATTCCGAAGGTTTTGCTGAACAAGAGGTAAACCAAAACCTTCTATCAAAGATCCAGAACAAGGATGACATACATCGATACAAAACTGGTGGCTTCTCAACCGCTCATTACATACAACAGATCCATCTGTTTGTAGAGATAGGGACAACGCAATGTGGATCGCAGTGACTGAAATGAATATAGACACTGTTAATTTTTAGTGCTCTTATGTTAGACGTGCCATCCATTAAGCATTTATGTAGTTTTTGGAGATCAGGTCTTCCAATGGGTACCTATTGTAAACTGTTATTTAGACAGATCCGTTTTTGTGTTCACAGAATTTATTCAGGGGATGCTCACTCCTTCATGGCATCTGATCCCACCTCTGTTTCTGGAAGTTCATGTTTGCTCTTCTCCCGATTTGTATCGTTAAATTGGACTTTGAGCTTGAATATTGTTCGTTATCTCCATATTTCTTACAAAAACTTCTACAAGAAAAGAAGACTTTTGCTCTTGAGAGATACATGTATATCGACGACGTTTTATCAATTAATATTCATTTTCATTTCAACGTTCATCTGATATATATATTCCATTTGAAGTTGAAATGAAAGACACCATAGAGTCTGACATTTCTGTGTTACATTTGGATATTTTTACTAGAGAAAGACACTGATGGCAAACTAACAACTTAACTTCTTGATAAACGTGATGACTTGAACTTTTCTATCGTCAACTTCCCTTATTTACATATATGTAGCAATGTACCATTTTTACCTGCATATGGAGTTTATGTTTCCCAATGGATTCGATACGCAAGAACATTTTCTACGTACAAATGAGGCACGGTTGATGATACAAGGATATCAGCAGTACCTTTTAAAGTCAGAGTTTTGCAAATTCTATTGTTGATACAATAGCTCTGTTAGCAAATAAAATCTATCCTGAAGAATCTTACAAAATGGTTCAAATTAAAAATTCAGGATGGAGACGGTATGTTTTTCCGAGAATTTACAAACCAAAGGCAGTGGATATAAACATTATTTTGTTTTAGCCTCATTCCTATCTATTTTTTTTTTATTGGGAAGAACTGATCTTCAATAAATCTTTCTTATAGAATATTTTAAATATTTGAATTACTAGTAACTGTTCAAATATTAAACTGTGTAAATTTCTGTAATTAACGAGAAACTTTAATAAAACAAAAGGCTTTTTGGTCATGTACGTTTATTAGTACCCGATTACCTGCGTTTCAAGAATTTCTTTGGCTTTGGCCAGTTAAATAAGGACCACCTGAGACTGAAATTCTGGACTTCTGTGCCATGAGTTTACAATTTGGGAGAAATATTGCATTTCATGAAATTTGTCTCTTATGATCAGGAGTGAAGAAAATTTTCGGAAGTGCAATGTATTTACAATACATTTTTCAATACAAACTGAGACTCACCCTGAGAACTGAAATCTAGACCCAGGGGGCATAAATTTAACAATTTTAATAAAAAGGCCTACTACTCATCGTAATTATACAGAGTTTGCCTGGGAGATGTCTTTAAGAACGGACGATTGCATGCACTGTAATAGTTGTGGTACGGCCCATACTGTTGGAGGAGGCTGCGACTATGAAATTAACAAGTTTTGTTTCCATTATTCTCTGGATGATATTTGCAAAATTGGTCAACACTGGACTAAAATTTTGAGGAAATTTCTGACTAAAACGTAGAAAATTCTAAAATAATCACCTCAAACATATCGTTTAAGATGGATATTTCTTTCAATCATGTTTATAAACAGTCGTTTTGAATTAAAAAAAACGTAAAGTAAAGAAAAAAAAAATCTTTCTACTTGGATTTTGCTTAAAAAAATTTACTCTTATTCAAAATCTGTAATGTAAGAAAAGATATGGTTTAAAGACATTAATTTAACATTGTTAAGAATACCACTAAAAGTTTTGGAAATAAGTGACAATGCTTAATCCTTACCCAGCTTCATCTTCTGTTTATAATCTAATATACACTTCTACAAATAATTGCCTTTTGTTGCACCCTTATATATACACTCAAAATGGAAACCGAAAAATTTAAAAATTATCTTAATCTTAAATAGTTAGATTTCCAAAAAAGTAAACGTACTATCACTTGATGGTAAAAATACATACATTTGATTAGCAAAATTCTTAAAACGTCAACTTTTTTGCGAAACATATTTTGTTCATTTTTACATGTGCTAGTTTTCTTCCTAATATGAATCATTCAACAAAAAAGGCGAAAGAAAAGGTGTTTGAAACAATAAAATTGTTTAGTTTAATGAGCTTTGTTTCTACATTCCTGTGGTTCCATTCTAGTAAAGAATTAGAAAGGAAATTGCAACAAAAAGGATACTCGATATTTAACTGTATTAAGGCTCCTAGGTCGATAGGTAAACCTGCCATTCATAAATCTTTACCAGATATATGACTGTTCACTTTTACACTTTAAGATCGTATCTCTTTGAACATTTTTCGCACCTTAAACCACAGTCAACGAGGGATTATTTTTCAAAGTCTGTGAAATTATTTTCATTTATTCGAAAACTTAAAAATATTTAAACATTTACAGGTCGTTCTTAAGATGAAACAAACGCCAGTCTGACTTCTTTACTAGGGTATGATAGATATTACATACTAGACGTACAATAGGATGAACAATATAGTTACAAAGGCTTAAAAAGTTTTATCATTTTTTCCCAAACATTAAAGTATATGAATACTAAAATAGATACAGAGATACTGTTATCATTTTCAAATAGCGAAAAAGACCATGATTGGATTTCTTTGATAATATAAAATTAAGCCACAGACAATATATTGTTATGCATAAATATTTGTATGATCTATTGCTAAGATATCCTTGTAGTGCATACTGGTACAAATTTTTTAACCTGAAAAGGCCATTCCTAGCGCGTTTGCGATGAATTCAAGGAAGTCAAAAATTCTCTGAAAATATTGATCTTTAGATCTTAATCAGCATGACAATTTGATAACATTCTCATGTAAATTTAAATTTGAAGGTATTTTTCATTAGTCCTTTTTCCATAATTATAGCTTCTTTTCAAAATACTTGCCTCTGAGTCAAATTCTATTGCAAAGGGCTTTTCCTAATCAAGAGCAAATTTCTTAACTTTCTAGTAAGTTCATTATTAAGAGGGAATTAACGACCTAAAGCCAGACATTTTGCAAGACTGTGTTTAAACTGGTTAAAATGTTTAGTTGTGTGAGAGGCAAGAGAGCCATAAGCCATCACCAGAGTTTCACGATTTTTGTAATTTGGTAAAAAGGTCATAGCTTACTGTCATTCAGTTTGGAAACGTTAAGATTTCAAATCCATGTATATGTATTACGCAACCTGCTTTTGAGGCCAATTCTATTTTAAAAGGCTTCTCCTAATGCAAATATCCGACTTGTTCATTGTAAAGAGAGAATTTACAGTCTAAAACCAGACATTTTGCAAGAATGCATTTAATTAAACTGGTTTAAAATGTACAGTAATGTAAGAACCAAGAAACCCATAGGCCTTTACATCACCAATGATCATTTCTCAAAATTTTCATTAATAACGAAGGTCGTGTCACAATATCATGATTTATGCTACGATTACCCACGAATCAAAAAAGTTGAAAATCGCCGTTCATCGCCAGGTTAGTCTTGCCATTTTTCCATAGCGTGTGGAATTTTTTGCTGCAAGAATTTAAGGGGGTGTCTGTGCGACAAAGTACGATGCTTGTACGATTTAAGTACAAACTGAGGCGACAGCATTACGAACTGCTTACGATATTTCCACGATTATGAAGGATTAAACGCGGTTACATACGATACTCGTGCGAAGGACTACGATATGGCACGATATACACACGATAATCCTATGATTAATGATGATTTCTTACGAATATATGTGTAATGAAATGCATATAGAAGAAAGGCGGAGTTGTTTGAAATTATTAAACATAGTAAAGTTAATTAATCAGAGTAAAAGCTACAGTGTGGAGCTTTTGATTATGTTCAATCTCTCCGTGAATTTATTGGACACGGTCTTTCTAGTTTCTGTGTAACATGCATTTTCTTATTTCACTTTTCTCAGCTTCTTTCCTTTTATTTTATGTGGTATTTGTCTTCGACAGTGTTAACTCAGACAACGTCTGCCTATATTGTATTAGTTCAATCACACAGTACTCGTAAACTAGCACACGCCATCAATCGTCCTTCTTCGTATCAGCTTGGAGGGAAAGTCGTACTATGTTCCTATCAATTCGAAGAACACTCACAGTATCTCGTAGGACACTCACAGTAACTCGAACGACACTCGCAGTAACTTGCAGGACACTCGCATTGTCGCTAGTACTACGAAGTTCCACGAATGTCGAAGATTTAATTTGAACATGCCGAAACAATCGCCGAGTTTTGCGATTTGCTGTGATTCAACACGATTAAGGAGGATATCCTTCGACTACCTCTACGATAAATCCCGATTTGCTTCGATTTTTGAATTCGCAATGAATTGTAGCTATAAATCATGATAGTGTGACATGGGCTTAATTGGTAAAGAGTTCATAGCTCACTGTGATAACACATACAATTTACTTGTTTGATGTTTGGAATAATAAAGATTTCAAATGCAGAAATCAATATAGGACTAACTCATTAGTTCGTTAGTGTTATAAATGTAAGATAAAACCAGAGACTTCCGAGTATTTTATTCCATGGTCTCTGGTTTTATCCTACATTTATAACCCCAACCGGAAGTTTTGTATCCCATCTAAAGTCTTAATAATTATGTATCGAAGTAATTTTCGAGGAATAAATGAGTAGTTTACAAAAAAGAGACCAGAGACGTCTGAAGCGATTTATTTGAAAAGAAAGGTCTCTCGAAGCGAATGATGTCATTTTAAAAGTTGGTTAATGATTGAAGAGTGCCTTTGAGATTGCTACATTATTGCAGCTAGAGCCCCCCCCCCCCCCCCAAGATGTTGCTACGGGTCCGTTTCTCGTTAGGAAAAAATGTAAATTGTGCTGTGTGTACCATATGTGCCGTGTTTAGGTTTTCGATAAAAATATAAGCAACCCATAATCACGATTATTTTAAGTACTGTGTAAATAAACGGTGTAAAGAGAGTGCATTAATTGTCCAGAATGAAAAGTAAAAGTATAAAATGAAGAATTCAATACTGAATGGAACTCGCTCAAAATTGTTCTGATCGGAATCGGTTCACTGAAAACTTTATGAAACTGAATGTTTTACCCTGTGTTTCAGTATTTATACCAAACGATGGAGCGTTTTATTACCATATATGGTGTCCAAATACGGCCATTTGCAAAAGCTCAAAAGCGCGTTCAGAAAAACACGCCGTCGCGCTAACACACAACACGCCATCGCGCTAACACATCATTGAACAACACGCCGTCACGCTAACACAAGTCAGCACAACACCCTGTCGCGCTAACACACAACACGTTCGTCGCACTATCACAAAGTTGTGTTAGCGAGTTGTGTGGCAGCGTGACAGCGTGTTGTGTAAAGTTGCGTAAGCGCGACGGCGTGTTGAGTAAAGTTGTGTTAGCGCAACAGCTTGTTGTTTGAAAGCGTGTTAGCGCGACGGCGCCGACGTGTTGAGTATAAACGCGATGACGTGTTTTGTATAATTGTGTTAGCGTGATGGCGTGTTGTGTGCTAACGCGATGGCGTGTTTTTCTGAACGCGCTGTTAAGCTTTTGCAAATGGTCCTATCCGGACACCATAACCATATAATATTGTTGTCTAATTCAATGTTTACTACAGTGCAAGAACCCGGATGTAAATCTATCCCCGACTGACCTTTGATACAACGTGACGTCGGAGAGTGCAATAGGACTCATTTTCTACAGTGCAAGAACCCGGATGTAAAATCTATCCCCGATTTACCTTTGACACAACGTGACGTCGGAGAGAGCAATAGTACAATTTTGCTTGCTAGATTTTCATGAGTTTTTTGAAAAACAATTTTATTTCCCAGACCTATTCTATAACAAAGAAACTGTTCACTAAAACTAAAGAAAATAAAGCAGCTATCAGGGTGGGCCCTACTAAGCTCCAACTATACACCTATATATCTATTACTTCTAGCAGCATGCATATATTGAAGGTATATCATAGATTTTGTTAAATTTGAATTCTACATATAAATGATTCGTTGCAATGACTTTTGTACCGTTTACTTTAGTGCATGAGATATTATAATTATATATTTATAAATATAATTATGCCACGCTGCCATGATGAGTCCACATCATCCCACAAAAGTTCATAATTGACTCATTAGGCAGCTCTATAGATTTTTATGAGTTAAGATCAGGAAAAGTAAATTGAATTTTAAAACGTGAAAAACTTCGCACCACAGTAGAGCCTAAGTTAATTTCAAAATATTGATTTAGGGCTAACATATCCGTATTAAAATCATGCTAACAATTTGCCTCTTAGCTAGATCGTGTGTAGAATATTTTCAAAAATGATTTTTTTTTTTATTTTATAACTAGCTTAGTTCCAGCTTAGGACGTGAAGTCGTGAGACGTAAGCTTTATAATTATTTATTGGTACACGGCTTATTGCTAATATTTTATTTTGTAACCAGATTGCCTGCTGGATATTCATGAATATAAGAGATTTGAAAAGATATACAATGAAATTTCATCTTTGCTCCAATCTGAGATCTGATGCTTGCATGGGGACATGAATTTCGTTATTTGTAGAGGGGTTAACTAAACAATGCAGTACAACAAATAATAGGCGACCAATCTCCATAGATAATTCCTAGTTATTTTTTTTATTGGAATCGGACCAAAAGTGTAAGAGAACTAGAATTTTTGAAAGAAAGTTTTATGTTGAATGAACATGACAACAAAGATATCTGATTCAAATAACCGTTGAAAGGAAATAATAGTCTAAATGTATAGTCTTCTTTTCGTGTATAGTTCGTGCATACATGTAGTTCTATTATTCTAGTTTATTTAACCGCGGCATCATCGACATTTAAAAAAAAAACGATGCTTAGATACCATCTTCAAATGTTTAAGTTTTACTATAATAAGGTCAAAACTGTACTAGGAATAAGATTTTAAAAACAGACTTCTACATGTAACAAATGCGTAATGGTCTTTGACAATAACTAAATACTAAAAAAATAAAAATTAGTAAAAATAAATGAATTACTGTAAAAAAAAAATAATAATGAATAGAATAATCGCTTAGAAATATCGAAAGATGTCGCACTTTCACTATTTATATTTTCTTAAATTGATGCTAAGAAATTGTATCAAAATTCAATAGAGTAGAAGGGCATCTCCATCTGACCTATATTGCCATGAGATTACTATGATCTGATAGCAGATATGAATGTTTGTGCGCTCGCACACACAAACCAGAGAGAGAGAGAGAGAGAGAGAGAGAGAGATGTCCATATAATCTTTATACAATCCTGACCGACACAAACGTTGATGAAGAAGCTGTTTTATTTATTTTTTTTTTACATGCACATGTAATTTCTCTTTTCCATTGTCCAGGATACTAAATTGGGTGAAAAGTAGTTGATTCATTTAGTTAACTTTAAACTACTGCATATTTTCACTCTGTATGTTAATTACAAATCTTAAACTCGTTGACAAACAATACTCATCTAAGGTCAGACGACACGTTCCTCAAATATCTATTTTGTATCTCTTCGTAATATACAACAAATAAATAAGTATTATCATTATCTTGTGATTTATATTCTTTTTTCAGAATGTATCAAAAATAAGTACTGGAATAATTGTGATATTGGCAATATTGGTGATTTCCTATAGGATTATCTAAGAAACACTATCCTTTGGTATCTTGCGGTTAGGTATCCCAATTTTTTGTGAGGAAACTTCTTAAAGTAGCAATACTTCACTAACAAATTCTTGGGAGAAATTATATATCATTGAGGAACGTGTCGTCTGAAAGTGCTGTTCAAATGAATGCTTAGTCTTACTAGGGTACCTGTAAACTACGAAAAGAAAAGAAGCGCATAAAAAAGAAAACAAAAGAAACGAAATGAAAAGAGAAAAAAAAGAAGAAAAGAAAAAGAAAAAAAAGAAAACATAAATGAAAAGAAACGAAAAAAATTTTAAAAAGAAAAAAAATATATATACATTAAGTACTAATTTTAAGGTGGATCTTATAATATTGATTCAATAGGTAATTTAAAAGCACTTAATATGTACATGATTTTGTGTACATTGGAAGTAAATTAGTAGTGTGTGTGTGAAAGTTTGGGTCTAATTCTGAACGTTGATTACCATTTTTTGTTTTGTTTTGCAAGTACGAAAGCCTATTAGGATCAATTTTAAAAGGCGTTATAACGCCTTTCAGAAAGGTGTAATAACGCCTTTTTTGAAAAGGCGTAATTACGCCTTTTTTGAGTTAATAGAGAGGTTAAGCATTTGACCGTGTGCGTCTACGTGTACGTGTATACCTAGAAGTGATTTTACAAGTACACGTAACTAACATCGTGTTCTTTTTAACAAACTGTACGTGTAGAGGTACGTGTAAAACGTCATTTCAACAAGTCACTTTACAATCCATTTGTATCAAATAATTCTATGACTTTGATTAAAAAAGATTCATAGATGTACGTAATAAACTCTCAACATCACAACAAACACCGCCTGAAAAATATATAATATGTTGACGGTGCGACCGTTGGGGCGAGCGCATTGTTCACTTCATTTTAAGATCCGCCTCTTCAAACCGCACGAGACATTTGGAACGTCTTAGACTGTGACGTCACATGACGTCGTACATTAGCTGCATTTCCATAAACAAAGTTTAAAAAGTGCAAATATTTTAACAAAGAACGTTTAATCTACTATCTGCATGCAATAGCCATTAATTAAGGTGAGTTTATTTTTTGTGAAATTTTAGTTGTTGTCACCGCGTGAACGAAGTTAGCAGCGAGAACAAGAAGCGATGCATTGTGGGTCAGAATTACTGCGGAAAAAAATTCTATTGAATGAATGTGCAGTAGTCCGAATTTTCTCTTCGCCCAGGCTTTGTCGTTAGAGCTCGCAGTGACGAGCGGCGCTTCGCGCCGCTCGCTGCGCTCGCTATAAGTGACGAGCGCTCGCTATAATTTGGGTTTAAGAAGCTACACGTTCTTTCCTACGTGTACATATGAATCTACGCTGTGTACAACTTGTAGAATAACGCGCTATGCAAAACTGATGACGTAAATCGCAGTAAATTAGGGGATTTCCCTAGCTACACGTACACGGTCATCTGCTTAACCTCTCTATTACGCCTTTATTGACGTTAAAACACCTTTTTACTTCGCGTAATTACACCTTTTCTCGGGTTGAAAGGGTGTTATTACGCCTTTTAATTTTGTTTTTACGCAGATTGATCCTTATAGGCTTTCGTATGCAAGCACATTCATAGGATCGAAAGAGGGAGAATGTTGGGTCGCGGTTTAGCAATGTGCAAGATTTGTAAATTAAGGTATGTCACTCGTCAGCCTTTTAGAAAATTTCAGTCAGAACCTCTTGCTTAAAAACTATTTATTACAATTCAATCTTTATAACATATTTAAATTAAACGATGTAAAATGTTCAACATTCAATTAAAAAACTGCTCAAAAATTCACAAAGAAGCAAGATTTATAAGGGACTATTTCTTGTGGCGGAAGGATATTTAGCAGAAAATTCTGCAAATCTACACATTTATTAAATTTGATATCTTGGAACTTTAGCCTCACATACTTTTACTCAGAGAATATTTTCCGTTATGATATGCCTGGAATATTAAATATAGGTCTCAATTTATATTTTTATAACAATTTTTACACCTTCGCTCAACAAACATTGCCAAGAAATGAAGATATATTAAGGAAGTCGAGATAAAATTTACACAGTTTTTTGCCTGAAAATCGCATATTTTAACCAATATTTCAAAATTTACATCACTGACCCAAACTTTTTCTTTCATTATTTTAAACTACTCGATACTTTTGACCGATCAGCACTTAAGTCGTAAAAAGTTTGATACAAGAAAATATTCTATTGCCTATTTAGATTTTTAATACCCCAAATATGAGACTTTTTTAGTGCAAAAAGGTCACACAATAATTTACGCGCATTAATTTGCATGATTTGTTCAATGATAGATATTATTCAAACTATTTTACGTAAAATAAGATTATGTTTATTGCCATGGTTACATCTTATAAAATATGATAACGGTTAAAGTGATTAACCAAAGAGTTACAATTTAAGTGCAAAAAGGTCAACTTAATTGTACCGTAGTTCAGTTAGATGCACACTGACCCCCCATTTTCTCTGCGATTTTGAGTCATACTATTTGAGTACTTATCCAAAATATACTTCTCAAAAAATCCTTGATATAACAAATTTCACGAGTGACATACCTTAAGTGGTTTTGGACGCTGCATGCTATTGCAAAACGAATGGACACAAAAGTTAAACTACAGTAAACGGTACCATTGGACCGGAGCTCAGACAGAAGCTCTCTCAGAACTTTTTTTTAAAAATGATTCAGGATTTTATTTTTTATGTTCAGTATATGCGTTTATATACCAATCAGGGACCCTCGAATAGCAAAGGCTTCCCGGATAATTTCTGCAAGGGTAAACCTCGAGACTCAACGTCTGCAAACTCCTGTGTCTTCGATAATTCAAAAAAATGTTTCTATCCCATTTGTTGTCAAAAGAATGTCTCATTACATTTAACGCATACCCGTAGGAAGCAATTTCATTTTGGGACAGAGGGGGAACCAAACAATTTTTAGTTTGGGTGGACACTACCAAGCAAAAATTCCTTGACAAGAAGAAAATAGAAAAGGTTATCAGACCTAATTAATGAGGGGTATATCCATGAGGTAGCTTTTTTCCTCATTATAGGCCTACTACATGTATATATCGGCAAAAGTAATGGGGCTACCCCCCCCCCCCCTCCCAAGTTCCTACGGCCATGTAATGAGTGTCTGTTTTCTTATCTCCAAAGCTTTTAGATTATTTCCTGTACAACTTGGCACAAGTTTTAAAAAAAATATCAAGATTCGTAATTCTGTGAATGTAAATCTGAAAAATCATCATACTTTCTTTTATTGCAGCCGTTCTCCTAAACTATCATAAGTTTAAACAGTATCATACCATTCATCAATTGCATAAGCTTATTATTACAATAACTTTTGTTTGGTAAACCTCGTAGTTTATCCTGCATCAGACAATAACCTGAATAATGCAGAAAGGATTTATGAGATTATAAAAACAAGCTTACGTATTTTTCTTGTTTAAATATCACACTTTGATATATTCACATTTTATTTTACATATGTACAGGTAACAATACTTTATTCAAACATTTTGTTTGCATAGCACTTGGTCGGAATATTGCTCCGAGACATTGGTTTTGACTTCATTTACATCAGGTGATCCATTCTGGCCATGGTACCAACAAGTACTGAAAAAGAATCATTTGAACTATTATGAATTATAGAGTAAGAAACTACTGTTGAAGAAAGATCCTTTTCACTTGTTTCTATTCAATTTACAAGGGAACAAATCCTTTTCAAGCATTATTTGGGAGTCTTTATGTTTTTTTTTTGTTGTTGATAAAAACAGATTATAAAATCTTTGTAGCCCCTATCCCATTCCTGGTGAGATGGAGAGGAGAAAATCTCACATTTACTGTTATACTGTCATTACTAAATTGGTGTGCTTTAAACTTTAATCCCTTTAGTTGGGTAAACTCAAAATTAAAACTGGTTTTATATGTAAGGTACTAGCAAGTCAAATCTTTCTTTGAGGTATAAAGTATCAATTATATGTATATCTTAGTTGACGTCGTATATTGAATCATTGCCACTGGACTTTGCGATCCTATATTTGATTGATTAATTGGAGTTAACATAGCTGATATATAGCTTATGTATACTAAAGAAAACATAGTTACTTTATGCTCGTGCCCCTCAATGATAACATATGATGACCTTTTGATCTCCTTTATTTGCTTGTCAAGGAATATTTGCTGGGTAGAGCCTTCCCCAACTGAAAATGTTTGGTCATTGAAAGACGCAGCCAACTACATGTATAATTGAACAAATTTAGACTCGGGCTTTGAACCCAAACCAATGCATAGGGATTATTTCGTGCCAGTGCCTACGGACACGCGGATCCAACCTTGTTTGATATCTCCGACGAAAGATCAGTGACCTCAAAAATTGTAACAGTCACTACCTGTGATGAGCCGTGGGTTCAAACTTCACGAGGTAAAGAAATGTTGAAATCATGTCATAAAAAGTGTCTAGTAAGAAATTATAAAAACTTGATCATTGGATTTTCAAAACTTTGACACATCAAAATGTCAAGAAGGACTATGAAAAGGGAAAGGGGCAAACTTTTGCAAGCGCTGATCTAGGAATTTATTTCCAGGGAGGGGGGGGGGTCCACACCGGACCAGTCCCCCAAAAATCCAACTCAGAAATTACTTGACAAGCAAAATAAAATTTCAAATAATAACAAACGTAAACTCCTTTCCTAAATGTGAAACACTTATTTCGTGGGGGTGGATGGGTTTTCGGGGTGGTCGGGGGTTGGGGGTTAGACGCTCCACTTTTCTTCTTAAGCTTCATATGTATGACTTTTCCTAACAACTTAACAGGGGTCCACGTTTTTTTTTTGGGGGGGGGTCCAAGGTCAATTTTTAGTTTCTTTAGTATATCCATTTGATAACTCTGCAAATTCCAGGGGTTGGGGGTGGACCTCCCTTCCCCGATCCCCCTCTAGATCCACGCATGCATTGATGTGTGTCAACTTGATTTATTCGATTAGACCTTCAATTTGAATTCATAATACACACTGTACTAACTAGACTTCTTGTCAAAAAAAATCTACAATTTGTACAGAAAGATTTACTGTGAAACAAAAACAGAAAAGTGTAAACTTGTTTCTGGAGTATAGAAATACTACATAATACATTTTAAAGAGCCATTCTCTGTAATGATTTTAACTTTTATATAGGAGCTGTGGCACGCATAGTCTCAAAATTTATTCAAACTCTCTATGATAAAAGTCTTTGATAACGTATATTCAAATCAGGCAAAAATTGGTTGCTACGTGTCATGATTACCATAGCAACATGTCCTAAAGTTTGAAAAATGGCATTTTTTTTTAACATATTCAGAGTCCCACAGTTAACGTTTGCAGCAAAGCAAACAAGTGGCAATGACTGTTTCTGAAAGTTAAAGGCCCGATGTCTTAAATGCATGATAAACATGTTTGGTAAATCAACTATTACATGATTACTATGGAAACAAAATATTCAAAAGTAATAATTTTGTTCAGAATACATTAAAAGTCTGTTTGTGAGAACAAAAGTTAAGTGGATAGAAGAAGGGGAAAGCCAACAAAGTATTTTTTAAGTTTGGAAAAAAGAAATTTTATAAATAAAACAGTAACCAAACTAGTTCAAGATAGTGGTAATATAATAACAGAACAATCTGAAATTTTAACAGAAATTGAAACCTTTTATAAAAATCTATATGCATGTTGTGATGATAAACTAAATGATATTGACTTGAAAAGCATTTTAAATATGGAATATGTTAAAATATTAAAAAAAGAAACATGGCATCAGTTAGAAGGTGTAATAACCAAAGCCGAAGCTTTAACAGCATTGAAAAACATGAAAAATGACAAAAGCCCAGGAAGTGATGGAATAACAGCTGAGTTTTACAAATTTTTTTGGAAAGATATTGGACAGTTCCTTATTAGATCAATTAACTATGGATTTCAAAAGGGAGAATTATCTACCACTCAGAAACAAGGAATTATATCAATTTTACCAAAAGGAGAAAAATCGAGAGAATTTTTAAAAAATTGGCGACCAATATCATTGCTTAATGTTTCATACAAAATTGCTTCTGCATGCATTGCAAATAGAATAAAAGATGTATTAGATTATCTTATACACGACAATCAAAAAGGTTTTCTTAAGAATAGATTTATTGGTGAAAATACACGCATAATTTATGACATACTTCACAGTGCAAAGACAAGAAATATACCAGGAATTATTTTACTTATTGATTTTGAGAAGGCTTTTGACTCAGTGTCATGGAAATTTATGTACAAAACACTGAAATTTTTTAACTTTGGACCTGATCTTATTAGATGGATACATGTATTATTTAATCAAACTCGACTATGTGTAATCCAAAATGGTATATTTTCATCATTTTTCAAAATAGGGAGGGGTTGTCGCCAAGGAGATCCTGTCTCTCCATATATATTTAACCTGTGTGTAGAGATTATGGGATACATGATTAGACAAAATAAAAATATAAAGGGAATAAAAATAGGTGAGGAAAAAATATGTTTACTTCAATATGCAGATGACACAGTAATGTTTTTAGATGGTTCAGAAAAAGGCCTAAAAAGTGCTTTAGATCTTCTTTTTCAATTTTCAAAATTTTCAGGACTTAAACCAAATATTACTAAAACAAAAGCTGTATGGATAGGTTCTGAAATAAATTCCAGAAACACATTATGTAATGAAATAGGACTTCAGTGGACAGTGGAACCTTTACAGTCCTCGGCATTACATACACTGCTGATCTAAAAAATATGGAACAGCTAAATTTTGAGAAATGTTTTCAAAACATTAAAAAGGAAACAATATCATGGTCAAAAAGAAATATATCTCCATTAGGGAAAGTTACAGTAATAAAGGGTTTATTTTTATCAAAACTTACACATTTGTTTACTGTTCTCCCAAAGCCAAACAAAAAGTGGATTAAAGATTTGGAAAAACATTTTTATAAATTTATATGGAACAATAAAACAGAAAAAATCTCAAGAAAAACAATGCAACTTTCCAAAGAGAATGGTGGTCTTAAAATGACCAATATTGACTGTTTTATTAAATCTTTAAAATTAACTTGGATCAGAAGATTACTATTTACAAAGTCTAGTTGGATCCCACTGTTCACTGAAATAACAAAATGTAATATTGTAAACCTGTCCCATTTTGGGCCAGAATATTCAAAAGCTAAAGCAAAGAATACACAAAATAGCTTTTGGAAAGATGTACTGTATGTATTTTCAGAATTCTTAAGTCTTATAACATGTAACTTGAACCAAGGAGATATTTTGTTGGAACCTCTGTGGTATAATAATAAAATTATGACTCAAAATAAGTATGTTTTTTCAAGGCCATTGTATGAAAAGGGATTTATTGTAGTTGGTGATTTATTTGACAGTAATGGTAACTTTATATGCTTTGATGATCTTGTTAAAGAATTTTCTTTAAAAGTCCCTTTTACTATATATGAAGGCATAAAAAGGGCAATTTTGCATTCTTGGCCAAATGTTAGAAATGTTGGTATAAATTCTGTCACAAGACCTTAGCAGCCAAAATTTGTGGAAATCATCAATAAAGATAAAAAAGGTTCTAAAACAATTTATGATGCATATTTGTCATTACATGTATATACTTCACCAAAGTGTGAATCAAAATGGGCTAAAGAACTGCAGTTACAGCAGGATTTTAATTGGAAATTAATTCATAAAAAATATTATTCAACAACAAAAGACACAAGGCTTTTATGGTTTAATTTTAGAATCATACATAGGATTCTTGGTACAAATAAATATATTTTTGTTTTTGTCAAAAATGAGAGAAAATAATCTATGTTCTTTATGTCAGCAAAATGTTGAATCAATTGTACATATTTTCTTTTATTGTCCTAAAGTTAACCCATTGTGGTCTCTTTTAGAAGATTGGATATTTGAAAAAACTGGAAAAATAATAAGATTTGATGTATGCACAGTTATACTTGGTTCTTCTAAAGAAGACACAATTATCAATCTTATATTGCTACTTATTAAACAGTACATTTTTCAACAATCAAGAAAAAACCAAAATATAACTATCCAAAATATCATTAAATACTTGTATGTGTATTGTAAATTTGAAGAAAAATTGTATAAACAATGAACTTCATGTGTATAAAAGAAGATGGATTAACTGGAACCAGATATTTGAAAACATAAACATATAGATAAATTTATGTCATGTACATTATTATTTTAGTATATCTTGTGTATTCATTTTTTTTTTTATATATTTCATGTTCATTCCTAAAAATCTGTATGTAAGCTTTCCAGTGTTTGTGTATGTATGTTTGTTTATGTCTAAAGTCAGTCAAAAAAAAAAAAAATTAATTAAAAAAAAAAAAAAAAAAAAAAAAAAAAAAAAAAAAAAAAAAATTGTTCATTTAATTTTATAAAGTCATACACTTAAAAATAAAAGCAATTATAGGTTGAAATGCAAGCATATAATAGACAAGAAATCCTTGTAACATATACCAAGGACGAAATATGATATTTCTTATAGGTTGGCAATGGTTGCCATGGTTTTAATACCACAATGGGATTTTAAACTTACTCTCTTAGTGTTTTAATCTTATCCTATCTTTTTAAAAAGCATATTTCTATATAACTGATGATCAATTTTTAAAGGCGTTGGTGTGACCCTAATTTTTACATTTCAAAAAATTCATATTCAATTCTTTAAATAGAGCGTTGCTATGGAAATTAGCCGAAAAAATATGCATAAAAATCTGAAAAATATTCTGTTTCCTTGGATACGTACCCTTGTATGTAGATTCCCAAAACTTTTATGTTTGATATAAATGAACAACTAGCCTGACTTTCAATTTTGACTACCACCCAATCTCTAACTGGATGCAAAAAGCTGGCACATAGGATTTAATATTGATATAAAATTAACAAAATCGAGCATTTTCCCTTCTTAGTAACCATAGCAACAGTGTTGTATTATTCAACAAACTTTATCAATATATGATATTCAACTTTAGTTCTAGCTGATAAATACTATTCAAGGTGAGTCAAATAATATGTTTCTTGATTAAAAGGTAAGTAAATTCCTAAAGCAGCAAAAAAAAATATCACTTTAAACAACTGGTACGTTGTTTCCATGGTTACACTGCAAAGTAACAATTAATCCCAATTTTTCTTAGGTTGTCGGTGTTGCAAGGTCCTAAGGATGTATATGTGTCAGTCATGAATTTTATTGTTTTTCCTCAAGATAGTAGCATTAACCCAATCTTAGCAACAGATTTTGCATGGATACACTGTGCAACCATGGCAACCATAAAAAGTTATTTTTAGAATAATATTGCCAATACCTAATTACTTAAGGTCAAATATTTTTATTTTTATTGTTTTTCTTTGGTTGTTGATTGAGTTTGATCATGTAACATCTATCATTAGTGAATATTGAGCGTTTTTCAGCATCTAAAATGTATTCCAAATGTACCCATGGTTACCACTTACTTAGAGATAAATTCCTAATAGTTTCTTTATAGCATAAGTGGCGACAAGGTGTCAAGTTTTTGTGAAAATAGTTTGTTTGTTTTCCTTACTCTTTATTAAGGCTTAATAAAGATTCAAAGTAGCTGAAAATCTCAATTTTTTCAACTTTTCTGGCTGTTACCATGGCAACCAAGACACATAGCAACGAAATTTTATTTGATATATTTTTCTGGTGTCAAGTTGTAATAATGGGCAAAGTTTCATCAAAATCGGTGACCATGCGTGGCAAAGAAGTTTAAGTGGTTACAGAGAATCGCTATTAAATAGTAAGAGGATGTCACTTGCTATGTAACCTTTGTATGGCCAGAGGGTACCCCTTTTCTGGAAATCGTTGCATTTAATGTTTGAAGGCACTGTTGTGTTTACTTATAACGCGGTATCCATCCTCTAGGGTCTAGTGATCACTTGTGCAATTGAATGAAGTTTAAAAAACAAATCTTAATTGTGAGAGCAAAATATTATTTAACACTGGGAGTTTATCTACCGGTAATTAGTAGTAAGTAACCTGTGTGCTAAGTATCAGCTACAGAAAATCATTCACTGAAAACTGAAAAACCTTGCAGTCTTTATCCCGATTCTTCCTTTATGTATTTTTACTGAGTACTAATTAATGATAATATCTGCAGGATATTTTTCTTGCAAAGTAACAATGCAATTACTTTTTCCCCAATCGTGGAAATTAATTGTCGCGGATTGATTTCAATCTGACGAATCGCGAATAAAAGATGTCGCGAATAAAAGTTGGTTTACAGTAACCACATTGATACTGATGGTATTATCATGTTGTAATTATGAATTCACTGGAGGGAGGGGGGGGGGGGGGTAAATGCAAAAATTACAGCGTTATTTATAACTTATCATGTTGTAAATTTTGCAATTGGCTCTCCCCTAGTTAATTCAAAATTTGCAGCATGATATTATCTTATTTGAAAAGAATATTGCTCTTCGAAGCTATTGTTCGCTACATCTGGGACCATAACTTAATTTTATACTGAAATGTAAAAACACATAAATATGTAAGAATTAAAACTCTAAGCGCCATTTATTACTAATTTAATTGTCTTCTTTGTATCTAACATCCACCTTTAGATCTTTTCCTTTGTCCACCACCGTTGCCTGTACGCCGTAATGATCTGATGGAGTATATGGTAAACCTGGTACGTATTCTGTCAGAACTCGCTGTAAAATATAGATATATAAGTATAATGATTCTCTTTTGTATATCTTACCATCATATCTTTGAAATTATAATTGACATAAAAATTTACACTACAACTAAAATTGTGAATGTCATGGATTAGCTCCCCTAGGACCCTGAACAGTGGGGCCCAACTCCTTAAAATTCATGCAATCTTGCAATTTTTATTATGCCCCCGTAGTAATCGAAGATTCGGGGGCATATAGTTTTTGCCCTGTCCGTCCGTCTGTCTGTCTGTCTGTTTTTCCGCAAAAACCTTAACCTTGCCCATAACCTTTGATTGGTTGGAGCTATGGCTTTCATATTTCACACGTGTATTCTTTGTGACAAGATCTTTCTTTGGGTGCCATAAAATTTGACCTTTTGACCTTGACCTTGGAGTTTGATCCATTTTTGCAATATTTTTTCACACTTTAACCTTGGCCATAACTTTTGAATAGTTGGGGCTAGGGCTTTGAAACTTCACATGTGTATACCTTGTGACAAGACCTTCCTTCAGATACCAGCAACTTTGACCATTTGACCTTGACCTTGGAGTTTGACCTACTTCTGGAAAAACGTTAACCTTGGCCATAACTTTTATTTCATATTTCACAGGTGTATACCTTGTGACAAGACCTTTCTTTGGATACCAAAAACTTTAACACTTTGACTTTGACCTTGGAGTTTGACCTACTTTTGCAAAACTTTAACCTTGACCCTAACTTTTGAACGGTTTGTGCTAGGGCTTACATATTTCATATATGTAATTGATGTCACAAGACCTTCCTTTGGATATCAACAATTTTGACCAATTGACCTTGGAGTTTAACCTACTTTTGAAAAACTTTAATCGTGGCCATAACTTTTGAACGATTGGTGCTACGGCTTTCATATTTCACATGTGTATTTCTTGTGAGAAGGCAATTTCTTGGGCATCATTAATTTTGACCATTTGATCTTGACCTTGATGTTTGACTTACTTTTGAAAAACTTTAACCTTTTCCATATCTATTTAATGGTTGCTGCTAGGGCTTTCATATTTCATAGGTATATTCCTTGAGGCAAGACCTTAATTTGGGTACCAACATATTTGATATGCATTCGAGAAAGTTTAACCTTTGCTATAAGCTGCCATACGAGGACATTAGTGTTTCACAAACACATCTTGTTTTTTTCTTATAGGTTTCTCACGTTTGGGAAAGGAGTTTAAGTTTTTTATTAGTATTATTATTACATGTATTTTTCTCTTGTCAAGAAATTTCTGGGTTGGAAATAATTTGACAAATGGAAATGTAAAAAAAATTGTAGATGGAGAAAAAGAGGTCAACCTTGACTTCTCAGCCTTTGGATGAAGGCCACAAAAATTTACTTAAAAATTGGGGCGGGTGGGCGGATTTTATTTTCTATTACTGTAAACATCTACATAACGATCTTATACAAAATTTTCACATTGTAAATGCCAGTATGGATAATAGATTTGATTGCTTATTCTTTAAAATGTGTAAAGATTCTTTTGATATAAAATATTTATTTTTTTTAATTTGATTTATGAACGTTTGTACACGACACACGTCAAAACTGCTAGTATGAAATTAGTAGCGGATCCAAACTCTTTGTGTATATTGGTGCTTTACGTGTTATTCACCACTTCTCAATGGCTTTTTAAAAAAATATTTGAAGAACAAATACTTGTGCTTTGTCTGAAAATACCACAGATTTCCATAGTCCGAAGTATCTGACGTTTTCCAGGCTTTTTTTTTACGATTTTGATATGTTACGTGCCAGGAAAACTGGCACGTAATATATCAAAATCGTAAAAAAAAGCCTGGAAAACGCAAGATATTTCGGAATAAGATATCCATTGTCCTTATAACGTTCAACTTTTCGTTCTTGACACGTTCGATATTGTCAAAATTTTACAAAACACATGGTGTCTAAAATACTAAACAGTGCAGTTCTAATAGATTAACCATGTAATTATACAAGGTCCGCCGACAACCTGTACTCTCCAAATGCTCTTCTGCTAAAAATAGTGCCACGCGACTTTTCATATAAACGGGGAGTAACTCTAAAACTTTGAGCGTCATCGATGCCAACAAATTTCCAATTGACTTTTGATAAAAAAAAATTACTAAAATAAAAAAAAAAATACAACGGGGCGGGACACTAAGAGGAGCGGACGTAACCATATGGAGTTACGGTGTGAAATTGCATTGCAAAACTCAAAAGCTTCCTGAGATATCACCCGAAAATGAAAGAGTTACACACAGACAGAATGTATGAAATTCTGACCTTTACCTTTGGACCCCAAGGTCTTCTTTAGACCATAGGAAGTTGTGGTACAAAAGTTCACTGCAAAAGCTCAAAGGCTTCTCGAGAAATCGCCCGGAAATGAAAGTGTTACAAACAGACAGAATGTATGAATTTATGACCTTTTGACCTCAAAATCAGTAGGGGTCTTCTTTAGGCGATAGGGAGGTGTGATGTAAAATTTCATTGCAAAAGCTCAAAGGCTTCTCGAGATATCGCACGGAATTGAAAGTGTAACAGACGGAAATACAGCTAGACGGACGTACGGACGGACAGACAGAACAAAATTAATATCCCCCACTTTCAGTGAAAGCGGGGGACAAAAAACCCAAAAAAGTTTTCAGCATATTGTAAAATCCGTAAAATCCAGAATTTCTATCAGAATTTAGGTCGAGTAGAGTTGGTCATAACCTGAGATAACTCAACTGAAGATACTTTGGTGATCATCAAGGCCTTTTCGCCTCTAATTTCAAATAATAATCTGAGAATTCTTTAAATTATTGAAACACATGAAGTTTTGCTTGTTGTTACAGTTGTAGCTTTCCACTGATTATCATATAAGTACACCTAAAAAGAGTTCATAATCATTATTGTTCCAACATTTTACAAGCAAACCATACTCAATATAACTAACCTGTATAAAAACTACAGAGACACCGCGTACAAATATGTGATCAATGATGTTGCTCTGAATGCTTTGATTTGTCATATCGTACTGCGTCAGTCCCAAGGCATTGTCACTACAGTAGGTGCATAGACCGACACGTTCAACGTAGGGACTCTTGTAGCCAGCTAATTTAAATTGGTAGTATGATTCTACAACAAATAAAACATATACAAAATAATGATTTATAATTTTGGTTTTAGATTTCATTCCTCTTAAACAATACCAAGCTGTTTTTACAAATTTAAAGTAAACTTTTCTCCAAAGTCTTAATGCTGAATAAATTTACATGAAAACTTGATCACCCACTGATATTGTAAATTTTATGCGGTAACCTAAAGTATCTAGATCGTATATTATAGGGTCTAAATGTCGGAAAAGCAACAGCAAAGTTAATTAATACACATACTTTCACATTCCTCTACGATATTTTTTTCAGGAAGTCCTGGACCGCAGTTTAGGTCACCCATTATAACAGCCCGTGATGAGGACGATAAATAAATATCCAATGTGACGGTTTCAAAAAAGTTCTGATCAGCATAACCCTCGAAGATTCCCTGAAGATTTGCTATAATACACGCAATAGAATCAGCAGCAATTCTCTTACACATACAAATAAATGCAAAACATTTACAATTATTAATCATTAAAATGGATAAATAAATTTATAAAGTACGAGATTATGTTACGATTTCCCTACATAATATTTTTTTTTAAAAAATTGCAGTTGAATATTTGCTTCTGTAATTAACTACTAGAAATAACGCGTGTTTCAAAATGCTAAATGTAGCTGCAGAAACTGTAGCCTTATGGTTTTATATTTTAGTCTATGGTCAAAGACTAAAATATAAAACCATAACGCTACAGTTCTGCAGCTAGCTTAAATTTTAAGCATATTGTTATGGATATTTTAATTTAATACATTCCCATTTGAAGAAAACCATCAATGTTGTAATGACATTGATCATATCAGAAGAAGATAAAAAGTAATAACTATATAAGATAAATATACTTACGTTCAACATATATGGGTCCCAGTAATGGTGTTAAATGCGTACAAACTATGTCGCCGACTTTTACATCCTGAAGAAAAAAAGACTTCTTTCACAGAACGTTTCTTGAAAAACATGAGTTAAACTTTGCTGTTAAATAATCAAGATATTACCATTTGCTGTTAAAGAGCTTTTTAGCAGATGTTTGTCTTGACCTCTATTTAAAAAGTTCTGCAAAATGTTTTAGTTCTTACATTAAATTTGTATTCAACAATGCTAATTAAACTATATTCAATTAAAACCCCATGATTAAATTCCATACTGAAAGCATTAAGTAAGGAACTATATTTTGTGGCGGAAGGTTGTTTTAGAAGAAAATGATCAATTCTACAGAACACTGCATTCTTTTTTCCATTTCTGCCTTCGAGGAAAACCTGGGTACCCACCTCGCACCCACTTTCTTCATATTACAATCATTTTTCAAAATACTCTCTGTCGTTCCATATGATGTTACGATTTCAGTAGCAATGTCAAGCACAGTGCATCGGCGGTCCACATCCATTTTCGCTCTCAATTTGTCTACGAGGAAAGAACGACCTTCCAATAGGCTGCTAGACCTTTCATCATCTGAAGTTCTACTTTCCATAAATTTCTTACGCCACTTAAAAACCAGTTGCTTACCGTACTTTTGTTCTGCATGTATCATAAAAATATGCGTCTGAGTCAGAATGTATCCAAGATATTCACAAAACTTATTAACTGACCGAATTTTGATGTTGTCTAACGATGTCATAATGATCAACAAATCATTAATTAAAAAAATAAATATCCAGTGAAATCAATAATTTTCCCCACAAAGGTTTATAAAAGTTCAAGCAATCGTAATTATGATATCATTTTCGTTTTAGATGACACTTTTTCTCCCGCATTTTCTCCAACAGTGTGTATCAAGAATTGAAATGATAATGAGCAAATAAATATCTCCCCCGCATTTTCTAACGTCCGTTTCTATGGCAACTGCCACAGTGTTACTATCATGAATTTTAAAAATATTTTTATTCAGAAAATTCAACAAGCGTCTATATTTTCACCTGTAATTTTCAATCATTTCCATTAAAAAATAGAAAATAATGTAAAGAAATTCCACGAACTTTTGGATCAACCCTCGTATAAGTAAAAGAAAGCATTTCACGTGGAATTGACAGACAAACAAGGTAAAAAAAAAGGGATATGAGCAGTTTTTCAACTTTAAAGTGTGATTCCTCCCTGCTGAATAAATCTATATACCAACTCTTACCGGAGTTTCTCCTTAGAATTTTTGATTATCAAGAATTAAAATAGTTCTATATTTCCTAAAAGCTTCACAATAAGTTGATTTGAAATAATTCATTTTTTTCTGAAAGATAATATAATTACCCAGACAAACAGGGATCGACATTAACGGTTGTCCGATTGACCGGGGCAAGTAAATTCTCAGTACGGGCAAGTGAAACTGCTGATGTACTTGTCCGATCGGGCAAGTGAATATTTGATAGATTTTTTAAATCTTACATTAGTTTATAAACAAAACAATAATTTGAACATTTGATTTCTACCAGGAATATATGACATTCTTTTTGTAGTCGGAAATTCCTCGGTAGCGCCGTTTATTCAAAAATCGGGTTCGTTATTCCATTTTCTTTCGGGGTAGCTGACAAAACTGACTTCTTAACATTCTTATTATGAAATATGATATTTAAAAATAGCTCATTTATTTACTCACAGAACATAAAGAAAACCAGTTATTCTCGGCACACGATGTATTCTGATTAGGATATTTATGTTTCAAAACATGGCCAATGTTTTTCTTTAGCATGGCTTCAGTTTTTTCAGGGGGAAAAAAATCTAAATTCACAAAAAGATCATTAAGAAAATAATTTTCAAAAATATGAATTTTATTTAAAAGGAGATATTGCTGCATGGCAGTGTGAGTTTACAAGTATTTAAAATGTAGCATCACCTGCACATCAAGATATTTTTCTGGCACTTAACTTGCCAAATATAAAAAAAAAATATCTCACTTTATTTACAATAATAAATTAAAGTTATCGGTTTCCCTTCTTTCTAAATTTTGGGCAACCAAGTTTTGTATTCGGACAAGTCAAAGTTTGAGTTCACTTGCCCAAGGGGCAAGTGAATCTGTAAGTTGATGTCTATCCCTGACAAAGAAATCCTTCTACAGGCAACATTAGAAGTACGAAGAAACTCGTATTTATAAATGATTTTCCCAGAAAGCTGTGAAAGCTCATACGTTATACAGAGTTGTATCTTAACCGTAGGGTACACTATGCAAATCATGTGATACAGAATTTAAAAGTCATTGTTGTGGCCACAAAATTAATAAACAAAGAAACATTTTGAAGCTCATATTTTGAAATACTCAGGATGTTAATCATGTATTAAACAGAATTGTTAACAATAATATTTTCACTCTTGAATATCTGATAAACTTCACAATTTTGACAATTCACTTAAAAATTGTAAAAATTCATATTACATGTATGTGACTAGTCTTAATTCCAAGTTCCAGGTTTGTCTGAATTGTCATAGCTTTAGAAACTCGATACTCCAATGACCTTAAGCTTCAACGCCCATAGGCCTCTTTTCAAGTACATACACTTTCAGAAATTAATTTCACGACGGGGGAATTAGTCCATTATGGCAATCCTAGTTTTGCGATATGGACGTTTGAATGTTTCCTTCTGTATGTTACTCTAATACCAAAAGCGCGTGCATCCTTATATTAGAAACTCCAACATTTTCTGAAAGTATAATTCTAAATACCTGAAAGTGTATATATCCTCTGTAAGCTGTCTTCTTTGCAGATGGCAAAAAATATTTTACCACAGGGTAAAGCATGGGTCGTTTACTTAGAACCAAAAGTCCAGGAAGATTGACCTCCCCTTGGGTTGTCACGACACAGTCTCTAAGAAGGTTTGAAAACGAGAAGTCATTTGTAGATGATATTGCCAGACAGGAAATGCACTTTTGTGGTAGGTTGAGAACCCCGGTTTTTTCCGTCGCACACTGGGCTTTTTCTGCGGAGGTTGCTCGTTTCGTGCATCCTTGATATAAATAAAAACTATGTTCTGAATTAAATCAAAGAATAATCCAAATATATTTTTTAATTCAAATTGTTTTAATAAACATTATTCAGTTTTTAGCTCACCTGAGCCGAAGGCTCAAGTGAGCTTTTCTGATCACATTTTGTCTGTAGTCCGTCTGTCCGTCTGTCTGTCTGTCTGTCCGTCTGTAAACTTTTCACATTTTCCACTTCTTCTCCAGAACCACTGGGCCAATTTAAACCAAACTTGCCACAAAGTATTCTTGGGTGAAGGGGATTCAAGTTTGTTTAAATTAAGGGCCACGCCTTCTTCCAAGGGGAGATAATTAAGAATTCATTAAAAAATTAATGGCATCATTAAAAAATCTTCTTCTCAAGAACCACTGTGCTTGAAAATATGAAACTTATGTGGAAGCATCCTCAGTTAGTGTAGATTCAAGTTTGTTCAAATCATGACCCCCGGGGGTCGGGTGGGGCCACAATGGGCGATCAAAGTTTTACATAGGAATATATAGGAAAAATCTTTAAAAATCTTCTTCTCAAGAACAGCAAAGCCATGATTGGTCATATTTAAATGGAAGCATCCTCAGATAATGTAGATTCAGATTTGTTCAATTCATACCCCCCCCCCCCCCCGAACCACTTTTATATTTAAACTTTTCAACCTTTCAAGACTGAACTGATTTCTGCTTTTTCGTAGCCATAGTGCTCAGGTGAGCGATGTGGCCCCTGGGCCTCTTGTTTTTGTTTGTTTTGTCTTGTTTGTGATATTACATTGATTGATTGCTTTTAGTTTGACGTCAACCAGAAATACTTCAGCTTAGGACTAAGTAAACCAGTTAAAATGTATTCTTTTCCAGCACCAAAGTAACATGTGACTTGATTATATGGGGATTGTTAGATTCTTTGACACACAGTAACTACAAAAGAACATCTGACGAAAAAGGCCCGAGACTGTTAATTAAGTTTACTATTTATCTTCAGGGGTGAACTCAAAAATAATGACCAGCAAATTGAATTTTTTTTTAAATTCCACTAACCATAACATATTTATTTTTCAATTATAACATCATATTGTAAATACAGTTAAAATTTCGGAAGTGACAATAGAATAGACAAATGCATAAAAAAGTTTCAGAATTTTTTTAAGTACAACTTCATTTGAAAAAAAAATATTACTACATGCTAAAAGACTTTCTGAAATATATAATCAAAAGAAATTATAGCTTTTTATCCATTAGACTTGCATTAGGAATTATTCCCTATTAATGTCACAAAACTAGCTAAAATTTATTAAGAAGATAAATGTATATTTCAAAGGACATTTTACTTCATGTGACAAACACTGTAAGCAACTGAGGTCAACCAGAAACATTCTACTTATCAATTTTCCTTTACATTTATTCCTATTTGTAACATTTTTGTTGCACTCCTGACCTGTGTGAGTAGAATTGTGAAGCATAAATTACACCAGAAAGTGTTCTGTTGATTTATTGAAGTCGTTGTGGAATTGCTCGAATTTTATAACAATTTTTCAGTGTTTTTTTTTTAAATCATAAAAAATTAAAAGAAAAGAAAAAAAACACATTTGAATTGATAAAATTGAAAAAGAGACAGATTTCAACAATGAAATATGAAGATAACGAACTTGCCATGATCGGGTAATCACGGAGAAATTCGTAGATAGTTCAGTGTATAAATAATGGCCTAACAATTAGTATGAAAAACGTCAGTCAGCATTTGACTCAATGATAGGTTGTATATGCTGACATGGTCATTGAATCGACCGTAAAACTTGCGAAAAGATGACTTCAAACGAGACTGTTGATATCCTTGTTTCATCAACTTGTTTGTCAATAGCTTGCCTCGTCAATGATTTAGTATTAATATCAGAAAAAAAAATTACATGTGTTTATCATTTCAATTAATGCGCGCAGCAATTCTGTAAGAGAGAGAGAGAGAGAGAGAGAGAGAGAGAGAGAGAGGGAGCAACTATTTTTAAATTAGTGCTCTCTTCAATTCATTATATCCATAATTCAAATAATGATCTCTTAATTAAAGTAGGAGTGGTAATCTGTATTCGATTAACCGGTTAATCGGTCGGAACGATAGTAATCGGTTGGAAAATGTGTAATCGGTTGGTCGGGAAAAAAAAATACATGTATGTGTTAAGTTAAAACACAGTTTCCATAAAATTCAAGTTTTTATTAAAAAGTTAATATTAAAATTTAAAAAAAAAAACTATGAACGTTGATACTGTAACCTGAATTCAAAATTCACTTGATAGAAGACTTACCATTTGCCAATAACTTAAAAAATACACTAATGAGCGAGATGTTGGCGCATGGGGGCTTTGAGGAGGTTTCGGTGTTGACAGCGCTAAAGAAATAAGGATATTTGTACTGGTTGGTCGATGTTAGCAATTCTACATCCCTCCTGAGCCAAACCTGAAAAAAACATTATAACTGCATCAAAGTTCAAAATAATAAGAATTAAAATAATTATGTTTGCATATTTATATACTTCTAAAATCTATAAATCATTATTACATTCCATTTAGTCCCAAGATATATAATTCGATTGTTTTCTGTCAAATGAAAATAATAACCATGCTAGTGAAAACGGGGGTTATACCTTCATAATAGATCGTAAGACAGCAAGTTATAATAAGATTTCCTGATTTTTAAAACAGAGGCCAATAAAGGGTGGCTTTAATACAAAGAATATTTTTTATGCAAAAGCAAAAGGTAGATGTGTTAAGGTGTAAGTGTTTGCGGAGGATAGGACGAGCAGTCTGAACTGAGCACGTGATAATTTTTGCATAAATTTGGTTTAGACATGCTGCTTTCCAGATATTTTCAGTGATGTAGGAATTATATATTTATTTATCTATTTTAAAAAGTGTACTGGAAACGGGCCCCCTTTCTTTCTTACCTCCTGTAAACAGATGATGTCCGGGTCAGTGTGTCCGATGTTGGCCGCTATGTAGTCACCACGTTCCTGTTTATAAGGAATACTCCCCAAAAGTCCAGCATTGTAGGTCAGTAACTTTGTCTGTGCTTGACATAATTCAGCCACCACAACCAGGATGTACGAAAACAAGACAATAATTTTCTTCTTACTGAAATGAATTAGAATTTTGTCACGTAAATTTTGAATTTACCACATGGCAATAAATACAAAAGTTAGAGCTGTTGTAAATTTTGTATTTATATACTACTATACCCGGGAAATTCAAAATTTACAATATGTCAATTTTTTACTTAAGATCTACAAGTTGGGAAGCCGGTGTTTAATAAAAAGAAAGAGATATAGATGAAGGGGTTGGGGGTCATACTTTTAAAATTTAACTCTCATATACAGTAACTGTTCTGTGGTGTAGTCAAAACTTGCCCCATAAAGTTAAGTTTCACTTTTTAAAAAAATTGAAAGTCAATGTGCATCTAGTATTATTGCATGTTGGGTATTGGATACCCCCCCTTTAATTTTTTTGTCAGTTTTTTGGGGGAGGGGGTTTAACCCTCCATGGATTTCATTACACATGGGACACCTTTATCTTCCTCCTTTCTACTATCATACGATTTAATAAAGAAAGAAAGTAAAACAAATCCTAACTGCGCTTAGAAAACCGAAGTTATGAAATATTGTTAGACCGTATAAGTAGTACTATCTTTTTATAACCTATACATATGATTAAGTTATGAAAAATTAATTGTTGAAGCATATTACAATGTAGTAGATTTTTGTTTTTATATCCATTTTATTTCTGCACTATCCTTCTTTAATTGAACATTACATCATCAGGAATCATGAAATTATACATTTTATAATGTAGATATTGACTGGACAAAAAAAACAAAAAAAACAAACAAACAAAACAAAACAAAACCAAAAAACCATGCTTCAAAGAGTCAAATGAATGTAGTGTTGGTCGATATTACGCACTGATAGCTAAGCAAGAATTTCTTGTGGAAACCTATCTGTTAAAATTCTATCGGGGAAGAGATTTATTAAAATCTCGCTGGTACTCAACAAAAACAGAGGGCGAAAAACAAACAAACAAACAAACAAAAACAAAAAACAAGGCAATTTCTTTATTCTAATGTTAAACAAAGAAATTATTACTTTCATCCGCCAATATACCAGATAAGATAATTTTATTTTCCAATTTTTTGGGAGACCCAGAAGGCAAACAAGATTTTTACAATGATAAGATAGAAAGTTCTGAAAGAAAGGTTACATATATACATACATATCTATATAAATTGTACAGGCATATATACATGATACATATATAATCTATACAAGTAACTGTAGGTGCGGCAGTAGGGGTTATCAAATTTCAATTGACATGTGATCATAAACCAGTATTAACAATATATACTAGTACATGAAGTATAATAATGCTTACCTCATCATTTTCCTCACACCTAAATGTAAGGCGTTAGTATCAACTACAAAGGTACATCCTTGGCTTTACATTTAGTATTTATCACAGTTGTGCACTGAATTCTCATCTAATCCAAAAAATAATCACTAAACCGTACTTTGAAAAATTAAAACTCTGTCATCTTGATTAAGTTTCCAGTAGATATAGAATTCAATGAAGTCAAGAGAACAGTTATTTAAGGAAGTGTACGAAAAAGGAAAACAGTACGTAACATATGTCAAATTAGGTACCCACGGGGTGTCCTTGATATAGTACATATGTGTATTATCATCTATTTGATCAGATGCTTACGCAGGTATCATGGCGCATCTGTTTAACATGTCATTAAGCAGAATTGTTCAGAGATGGTTTAACGTTACGTTAACATTTTGTATCACCTTTGATAATTTGGCTGGGCATACACTAATTATACTCTTAACCAATTAATTAAATTTGGATAAAATCATCATAAATTTTGTATTGATTCAGTTAGTTTAAGTTTATGATTGATAATAGAAATATACATGCACCTAATAATAAAAGAAGGAAATCGTCATTTCATTATTGCTAGAATACAATACATAATTGGGGTTGGGGTGGGGGGTGGGGGGTTAAGTATGGAGCACGTTATAGACCTGTTTAATGCTATATACCGAGACTGAATTGAAGGTCGGTTAAATCATGCTTGGTTCAGTCGCTCTTCGAATTCAGTTTTCCCAGAATAGCATCTTAACATGATCCAGGTATAACATCTCAATTAATGTTCCATTTATGTACATGAACAATCCAAATGAACCGTTCCTCGGGCACACTTGTTGCCATCCACGTCCCAATATAAGGCCGTCGGAACGGGGGGGGGGGGGGAGGGGGGTTACGTTGCAGCTTTTCGGAAAGAAAGGTTTTAATTTTCCGAACTAGTTAATTTTTATTTATTTTATTTTAATATGTGAAACGACTTCAAGAATGACCAGATTCCAATTAAATGATACCCATGCACTTCTAAAAAAAAATCTGGCTCAGAGGAGAGGGTTGTTGAGTATCCCGCCCGACCCATACCCTTTTCCAGGAATCTGTCGACGGTCAACAGCGTACACCCTTCCACATATCCCAATATTTTTTTTCACAGTTTGTCAGTATTAAATTAATATTTTTCTATTTAAGTTGCAAATATCACCATTTTGAATATAATGAACATGTATATGACTGTAAAATGTGATAATTGCAAAACATTTGATTCTGAAGGGGCTGGCATTTTCTTTATTTTTATTTTCATGCCAGTCAAGGGCAGATTAGCTGTTTTCGAGATGATCAAGGGCAGATTATTTATTTCTTCTTCTTCGCTGGAATAAGTTTGATATATAAGCCCCCCCCCCCAATAAAAAATCGAACTCTAAAAACTATTTCGTGGTGGTGGTGAAGGGGGGGGGGGGGTGTAGCACCAGTCAAGGATTTTCTTGCCACTTGAGGACAAATTATTTATTTTCAATATTTTTGAGATTTATTTCTAAAGTCTGCCACCCCCTCCCTTCAGAATTAAACGGTCGTCCACTAAGGCAAAAGAAATTTATTTCCTCGGTACGAGATAAGACACGTGGTACCAAAGGGACCATGCATGGTGCTGCAGCCCCTCCCCCTTCCTTTTTTTTCAGAAACTCGTCATTTTCTGTTTATCAACTGTTATATATTAACTAAAGTATGTTACAAAGTTTTTTTTTTTTTTTTTTTTTTTTTTTTTTTTTTTTGGAGATTGTCAATTAAATTCATTCCACGTCATGGAGTAAAAAAATATTATTCGGAAAAGAATGTTTCAGTGATCTTATATACTGTGATTATGTAATGTTTATTAATATACACTGTACATGTACATGTATTTCTATTATAATTTAATTTTTAAATATTTTTCAGAAAAAAATCGAAGAACAGACCCCCCCCCCCCAACCCCCTTTCAGAACCAAGTCAGCTGCAGCTGAATTTGTACATTTTATTCAAATTTTTATTGATTATATATAAATTTAATAAATTATAGCTTTGCCTTCACCCTTTTCGGCACCTGAATATAGCTATATGTTTTATTAGGAGCGTTAACACGGAATTAAAAAGTGTGGGTTAGACAAGTTTCCAATTTAGTTTTATTTGTTGTTTTCCGCCACATGTTTGCGAGATTTTTTTGAAATTGAAGTGTCGAAGGTAAGCCGTGGCGTTTTGCCGTGGTGTTTGCTTTAATGAAAGGAAACTTTATTTAAGTATTATGCATAATGACTAATTTAGTCAGAAATTTTAAAGGGAGATTGCATATATGCTGTAAACATGGTACATGTGTAATAGGTGTATTTCATCTACATATGCTGGTATATGTGATTATCAATGTGGACTGTACAGTATGCTGATTTAAATCTATAGATGTTTCGAACTGTTTTTCAGATAAGTACATATGTACTGTTAATGACAGATATATTATCGTATTTTTTCCTTATTTGACTTAATAGTTATTTTCGTATGTTGTATTTTTGATAAACATCACATTTTTATACAGATGGTATTCTTTTCCTGCAATGCTTGTGGCGAATCACTGAAGAAAAACCAAGTGGAAAAGCATTACACAACAAAATGTCGCCAAGCTAAGTCGTTGTCCTGTATTGACTGTAGCAAGGAATTCTGGTATGATCAGTTCAAGTGTAGCAGATCCAATCACAGGAGTCAGCGATTTTATCAATAAAGTAAAAATAAAAGAGAAAACTCATAAATCCTACTGGTGAGTGTAGTGAACTTTTGCTTGGCTCGCAAAGCTCACTGGTAGGATTAATTTATTCTTATTTATTTTCACTTTATTATATGTCTGTTGATTAAATTGCCGACTCCTGTGATCCTATAACTAGTCTAAATGAACCCCGGAAACAGAGATATTGGAAATAGGGAATTGAAACTAAAAAATATGCTGAAAACAGAGTTCAGGCATGTGTACAAGCACAAAAAATGTCAATTTTTTTCCAGCAAGAACCAGGGGGTTTATGAAAATTGCTCGTACAAGGAGATGGAAATGCTGGCAATCATGACAGTACTCTGAAATGCTACATAAAGTCTTGGAAGAGATTGTATTTGTTAGATTTTCAATTCTATTTGCCAAAAAAAAGAGTTATTTACTTTCAAAGTTGAGTTTTACCTTGAGAAACTAAACACATTTCTTAAGTACATTGTAAGTCATCGTATTACACTTCCCTATCATTTTTTCATGGTGAAGTATCAATCTTTTTACTAAATTAATTTTAATTTAAGTCTTATGAATATTTCTCTTCTGTGTCATTCAGAAAATATTATAGCACATTCAATATTTACTGTGGCATGTAATAGGATGATATTTAAAGCGACAGTACGACTGCAAAACGTGTGTTTTTCAGTCAAATATACTCAATATATCATTAAGAAATGAGGTATAAAGTTGATGTCAACAGTTTGAGAAACATGAATATTCTCTCCTAAAACAAAATTAACTTAATTAGAATCTGCCGGAAATCAAAGGGTCGTACAAACTGGAGCAATCTTAGATCTGTTTATCTGTACCATGTGAATTCTGAATGACACATACCTATAAACTGTATAGATAACAATTATTATGGAATATGAGGTAAAAGCAATTCCCAAAAGCAAAATATTATAACTTTTCCAATAAATTATTAATCGTGAACCTTCAGACAAATTTTAAAGAATTAAAAGAATAAATATTGACGTTTTGTGTATTGGGGTCCGAGAGGGGAAAATCACCAAATCATGTGTTATCGCAGCAAAACGTCAAAAATGTTTTCAGGATAGTTGCATTAAAATTTGCACTTTAGATGGTAATAATATTTGTATATCATAGGTGTTGAGTTTACACTGCTTTTTTGAAAGCGATGGAGATATTAGAAATGATAACATGTATCAACAAACCTGTCGAGGAGAACCTTCGTGAGCCCTATTTGAGTCTCGCCGAGCTCCCGTTTCTTCTTCCACCATTAATCCCCCAAGTAAAATTTGGTCAGGAAATTTGCTTTTTCAAACTCTTCTTTCAGTTTTTTTCTTCTTGGTTGACTTTGTCAATGAAGCAGGCCTCTTTTACCATGCTGTTTTGTTTATGATAAGTATGATGCATGAATGACATGGAACGCGTTGCGATGTATATATTTATGGTCCATAAATAATAATAAATTTTAATGAAATAATTAAAGTTATTTAGTTATGAAACTTGTAATTTTCTGAAAGTTTATACATTTATGAGTAGTAAAAAAATTCCAAATCCTATCGGAAAATTTTATCAAGTCTGGTTTTTTGATGAGATGCGCCATTACTGTCTCTTTAAAGAATATTGACGTAACATTTTGAAGTTATTTCCCTTTGATCAAATTTAATGCAAGTTTGTTAGCCATTCACTTAACTTTTCATCTTTCACATAAAAGGGAGACAAAAAAAAAATTAATTGCTGCTTTTAAGAATACCTGTGCAAATTTTATTGAAAAGCCATATCCATCTATACACATTTCCATATTTATATGTAAAAATAAATTTCTTTTGTGAATTTTTCAGGGGGCAAGAGTATGATAAGCACACAAAATGTATATCTGAAGAAGAGAAATACTCTGGGAAAAACTATGTATCAAAGTCAGGGGCCAACAAAGGGGAACAGAAACAGAATCAGTGGTTGGAGGTAAATTCTGAATAATAAATGATATTCATCATATTTACAATGTATCCAGTACATGTATATTAGTGAAATGTTTAATGCGGTACAGTCAGAGTTTGTTATCTCAAACCCATTGGGACCAAGGAAAAACTTCAAGATACATGTATATATGAGGATTTAAGATATTCAGGGTTAGATTCTTAAAGAATTAGTGGTTGGGATTTCCAGATCACTTTGACATATTCATGGTATTTGAGATATCAGTGTTTGAGATACCGAAGTTCAACTGTATTTTAATAAAACTTTTATTGAAAATTTTAGAATTTTAAGAATGTATAAATCATCAGACTGAATAAAACAAATTTATATTATAAACCAGAATTGCCTCTTTCTTATCCATAAATTGTAATGTCTGGTTACTTGTACATTTTAATGAAGATATGTCTTAAAGTTTGTTTATTTAGCAGTATTCGCAATGTACGTCAGTCCTATTTGCTATAATTTTGCTAGCAAGAATAATCTGAAATGCAGAAATATCCCCCAAATAAACACATTTATATGGCTTTATTTATTGCGCACGTTTTAACTTTTAGCAAGTACATGCTGCCATCAATGGTGCACAATCTGACAAGAGTGTCCTCCACCTGTTACACCAAATTAAAGACTATCCTAACATCCCACGCAAGCAGGCAAAGTTTAAAGTAAGTGACAGGAATGTCCTACACATCAAATAAAGACTACACTAACATCCCAGGCAAACAGATATGGTTTAAAGTAACTAGTCATAATAAAAAAATAGTAGGTTTGTATAATGATGGGGTTCAGAAGATTGCCATTTTAAGTACAGTGAAGAATCAAATCTATCATTAAATTTATTTATTATTTTTTTGGAGGTATTATTTGAGCTAATTTTAGCAACTGTATTCTGATTGTCCATCTTAAGGCCATCTGACTTCTGATGTGTGTTGTGGTTTTCATTTTCTAAACACAAGCATTTATTGCTCCTTGTCATAAATCAGCTGTAATAAAACTATATGTATTCACCTCAACTGGAATCTTTTTCTGCAAGTGTATTAGGTGAAAACAGTTTGAAGTTTAATTCATTTTTGCAGCTATGTATGTCTCACACAATTGTTTTGTATGAAAAGAGTTTTTAAAATAATTTTAGTTTCATGTAAAATTTTCATGTGAATTTCAAATTATGTGAAAAAAAAAATTCTGGTGAAATTCAGAGACAAGGCAAATTTTCTCTTATCCATAATTATGTAATGCAATTTATTTCCATACATCTGAAAACACCATCATAATGATTCTAAGAGGATGATGTGGTTTATTGGACAATCATTTGTTTAAAAGTAAAACTTAAGAAAAAATTATTTTCCACAGAATTTCCTGAAGAATTCACTGCGAGTAAAGAAGGAATCATTAATAGACGAAGCCTGGAACCTTATAATGAAACACGCTGAACAGGTTAGTGAAACTGGAGAAGTATGAGTGACTGAGACTGATCAAATTTAGTATAGATACACTAAAACTCGTTTAGTATGAACACGGATAAGCGAATTCATGGATATATTGAAGTTTTCTTGGATCCCCAGCTATATAAATTTTACGAATTCCTTATACGGATATAATGAATTAAGGATATAACAAATTATGGATATAAGTAAGTAATTTCACAGGTCCCAGTGACTTCGTTATGATGGAGTTTTACTGTATACTGTATATGTGAGATTACAAACTGAGTAATACTTAAGGATAAGTGTGTGCAACGAAGTTAATTTGACCTTATTAGTTTCTGTAGGGAATTTATTTCAGACAAAATGACAGAGGCCACAGTAAAAATGTAAAAAATTAATGGACAGCACATTATAGTTGTGCCAAACATTCAAAAAGAGCTGTAATGAAACAGATTAAACTTTGGCAGTGATTGATTCTTACAGAGACCCATGAAATAAACAACTTAAATTTCTGAACTGATGATCCATGTCAATTATGATTATGACTTAGATTTTGAAATGATTTTCTTGTACAATTCTTCAGACCAAGACAACTGAGACACAATCACCAGAAGCTAAACCAATGAATGGAAATCATGAGCCACAGTCCAAAGCTGAGACAGAAATAATTCAGAAAGGTCAGACAAAAAAGGAAAAGAAGGAAGAAATGAAAAAGAAGAGGAAAGAAGAAAGAAAGAGGAAGAGAAAAGCAGATGAAAATGGAGATGTTAAGGAGGAGGAGGAGGAGGAAAAACCAAAGAAAAAGAAGAAGAGAAAGAAGGAGGAACATGAAGAGGAGGATATGGCAAATGGAGATGTGGAGGCCAGTACCTTAACGCAGGACCTCAGTCAAGGTATATTTATGAACTAGAGTATTCCAAGGAATGCATGTGTCACCCGCTTTGTAGCTTCATTAAAGATGTAAATAAATCTAAGAGAGGTCAGCTATTTATTTACTCCTAGAATGATAGCTTGTGCATTTGCCTGCACAGAAAAAAAAAATCCACAGATAGTATAAAACTGGGATAGAATCTGACAATCAAAGAAAATGTGGTTCCCAACCCTCAAATGAACAATTGAAATTAAGAAAAATTGTTATTCATCATTTAATAAATATATCCATCAAAAGAGATTTCAGTCTGTCTTTACTGCAATTGTCAGTCTTCATGATCCATTGTTGAATACTAATCCTGAAGTACTTTCATGGAATCTAAATATAAGTTTGTGTGGTAACTGAATATCATACAGTTTCAAAGTACACTATCATGAGCTCATAAACTTGTATAAAAATCGATTATCAAAATCCTGCATCTCAAAATTCAAAAGACATTTTTTGCAATATAGGTCAAAGGTCAAGGTCACATGGATTGTAACCTGATATTTTTCATTATGTTAAATGACAAACACTGCACATGCTAAATAGGATTGACTTACCTCTTAAGAGTCATTCTCTGTAAGCATCAAAATGGGCTGGAAATAGACTCTCACCGATTTTGTTCAAACTTGGTGACATAATTTCACTATAAGCCCATTTTAAAAAAACAGTATTGCAATTGATCAATTGGCATTGTTTCCATGGCAACGGGTCACCTATTTTTGCACGTAGGTGGGAAATAACAACAAAGGTCATTTCACCCTATTAATATTTATTTGATGAATTTAAATGACTATTATTAATTTTTATCTTTAAAATTATTTGTGAATTATATTTTCTAAACAAGAAAACTGCAAAAAAAAGTTTTGGACCTACCAAGAAATGCAAAGTAATGTCAAAAAATGCTACTAAAAAGGTTGGGAAAACATAACAGTGTACCCAAAAAAAACGCAGGCACTGGTGGAATATTTTGATGCTCCTAATTTTACCCTAAATAATTATTAAGAACATATCAAAAAATTGGAGTGGTAATATTTAATTTAAGAAAATAAATCAATTATAAAGTTTGTAAAAATCTCTGAAATTACATACTTTTTCACCAAGAGTTGTTTCCCTTTTCGGAAATCTTCAGCCAAATATCAAGAAAATGAAAGTGAAAGTAGAGAGCAGAACATGATTCAGAGGAGTTAATTCTGTCTGTTTTGGATATTTTCAGTCATTTTAAACCTACTTTGTATAGTATTTCGTATAACTGGAAGTTAAATGTTTGGTCAGGCCTTGCTGTGCCTGAGAAATATATGTGTTTGGTCGTGAAAAGCCTGAAAATGGATTTCACCTTACTGAAATTCCAAGTGTGACACGTACCGATGCACTGCATGAACAATAGAAGCATTGGAAACAAAATGTTTATAAGAAAGCAACATCAGTTACATGGATTCCAGAACTACAGTTAAGTTGCGTTTGGTGATAAGGCCGTGATGTTGATTTGAAAGATACCTGGCAGTAATAAGCCAACTAGGCAAGTATCAAAGTACAAAATCATGTAAAAATTATTTACCTTTGTCAATATTTACTCTTAACTCATGCATGTTGGTGAATTATAAGTAAATTAATTAATAACAGTGTATGAATATCTATAAGAAAGAAACATCAAAGTATCAAAAAAAAAAAAAAAAAAACATCAATGACATTTGAATTCAATTATTAAAAAAATTAATTAATAATCGTCAAGTTTTCAACCTGCATATAATAATATATACAACTGTTGTTGAAAATTATGTTATCCATACAGCATATATGATAAAATCTACATTGGTTTTAAAGTTACATCAAATTTCAGTGTTTGCATAAAGGGGGAGGGGAGGGGGGTTAACAATATATATATAGTTACTGTCTTGCATTCATTCAATCATTGACTGTTTTTACATGTTGATCCAGGTAGAATGTAAACACATGTAAAACCACCACATTGCTTAAACAAAACACAACATTGCAGGTTTTGTAGGTTTCAGTGTGTTCAGGGCTTAATTTTGTTTGTTGGTATGAATTTTTTTTTGGAGGGGGGGGGGGGGGGGGGGCTAGTGTCATGTGCTATTTCATTTAAGAACTAATTATATAAAATTAGAAAAACTTTTAAATTTGTTTTATAATCTCTAATTACATTATATAATTGCAACTACGTAAGAAGGTTTAAAATATGGAAAGAAATTTTCATTATTAAAACAGTACTACTTCACACTTAATAGAATTCTGTAATTAATGAGATATCCTTATAAAATTTGATATAAATTCAAGAATCAAAATATAAATTTTTGTATCTCGGTAATGCAAAGGCTTAAAAGTTCATTTTAACTTCAGATAATCTTGTGTATAGAGTGTAGTGGAGATTTGCTTTTGTTTAAAATATGGAAAAGAAAGGGGGATGATTGAAGCTATATTTTTATATAATAAAATTGATGCATGCAGTTGTCAATGTTTGCTGCGACTGTTGCCCGGGCTTTGTTTTGGGAGAACAAAAGAGATCTCACTGCATATTATTTTTATATGAGGTTGAGGGGTGGGGGTTGGGGACTTAATCATATCTCATGCATTATTTGCATTTAATGGCTCTTATTTTTTTTTTAAGTGTTTATGTATGTAAATGCCAATTGATCTGTATGTTTTTTTTTAGGAAACAGTGCACAAAATTGCTGGAATACTCATTTGGAACTGAGAAATTTATGCTTAATGTGGTGATTTTACAAAGAAATAATCAAAACCGAGAAAAAATTTGCAATGACATTATGTGATTGCACAAGTGAAATCATCTAAAATGCAGAATCCAGAAAGATGAAAAGAGAGATTTTTTTTTGATATTGAAGATTCACAAAATAATTTTTTTCATGAAATTATGCAACAATTATTGACAATAAGCATAATAGGGATGCTACTTGATGCCTAATTAGAAGTGAAGGATTGTTTTAGTCATATTATTTAGTAAATACATATTGGTATTAAGTGGTCAACTAAACAAAATCTTTACTCAGGGAAATTTCATGATTTGTCAACTAGAGCAAAATATGAATTTATAATTTTGTCAGATTTATAAAGTATCATTATGTTAATACAGGTTTTTTTTGTTGTTGTTGATCTTATTGAGTATGACAAGTTAAAAATGTTTGGGTAGACAGAGTACCCTCTAGTTCATGAGAGTAATTTTTCATTAAAGTCAGAATTTCATATTGTTCTGTTTCTTGGCATGCCAGCAAGAATATTTAGTTTTCTTTAACATAACTTTAATAATTTTAACTAAGGCCAAAACAAATAATTAGTCTTGTTTCCTGCTACCAGTCTGACCCTTTTTTTTGCGCCGACCCTAAAGTTTTAGTTTTGGAAGAAAAAATAGGGATTTTAATTTAATTTAAACAATATTTTATTCACAGATGTAAGAATGAATAGGATTGGGCAGCAGGCTCAGCCTATTTTAGCCCTCTCCCTACATCAAGGTCAAGGCAAATACATAGTAAATTAATTATTAAAGCAAAAGTAAGAATATACAAAAGAAGAAAGCAAACACAAAAATGAACAAAGTTACAGAAGGCAAAAGAAGCAAAATTGCAGAAGGAAAGAAAAAAGAAAATTAATAAAAAAATAAAAAAAAAATAAGCAAGAGTACAAAGTAGTACCGGTTTGGAAAAATTGAAAATATTACAATATACCACATATGTATATGACAGTGTTTATATAAATTGTTTTGTTGCTGCTATAAATGTATGTACTGCTTCAAATATTTGTATATTAATATCAAGTCCATGATTAGAACTACCATTTAACAATAAATCACATTCAGATATATGTTCACAATTTATAATATTATGTATTGATTGAAAAAGTACATTTCTTGGAATTATATATCTTGGACATACAAAAAAGTAATGGTAGCCATCTGTCATGGATAATGATTTCAGAGTCGAACATTAGCATGGTTGAAGTTCTGTCTTCAAGTTGTATGAAATTCAAGGTAGCAAGGTCAATGCAAAATTTGGTCAAGGTCAATGTCAGAGTCAATGAGTATAATCAACATTAGGAAATGTAATAGCAATGCAATGAATAGGGAGGGGCAACATCACAAAATCTTGAAATGTTTGAATTGTGATTATCAAAATTAATCAGTGTATGATGATAGACAGTTATATCTTCAACAGTTTCTTTTTAGACAAGCAAAAATGTAAACTGATGGAGGGCAGAAAGGAGAATGGAACAACAAAGACGAACATGACAAATTATATACTGCAAACCAATTTTCTTTCACGTGCGAAAAATATCTGCGATTTTCACTACCTATTTTAACTCGCGAATATTAATCGCCGCGAACTATTTATCTTGCTATATATTTGTAAAGGACATTTCCTCAGTTACGAAAAATAATCGTCACGGATTGTTTTCAAACTGAAGAATCGCGAATAAAAGATGACACGAATAATAGTAATGGTTTACAGTAATTTGTCATGTGAATCTTTGTTTGTTCCTTTCTCCTTACTGCCCTCCATCAAAAAAGGAGAATGGAACAACCAAAGATGCACATGACAAATTATATAACTTGTCATGTGCATTTTTGGTTGTTCCATTCTCCTTTCTGCCTTCTATCCAACCATATTTTGTATTGCAAAATATGAGGCACATAAAATTGACTTTCAAAAGGGGGGGGGTAACTGCAAAGGGAATTTCCATTGAATTCTATATGGGCAGTTATTGCTTATACATCCATTTATTGTTTGTTTCCAAGGAAACAACATAGTGCAAAACCACTCCTGTTGCAGTAATTTTGATATATTTGTATTTTATTAATTTAAGTGTTCGTCTGTGTATGTGAGGGTAAGTGCATGATTAGAAGTTGATCAAGCACCGAGTCTCTAGTTTTGTATTTTGTTAATATCAATATAATAGGGACTGTTCCTAAACTATGATAATGTGGTTGCCAAAGCAACTGTTTTTTTTTAAATGAATTTCTATTTTAATGCAACTGAAATGAAAAGGTTAATTAGCATGATTTATCTTATTGAAGAAGAAACATAACACATTCAACGATGTGTACATTGATAATATCAATAACAATAGGGATTGTTCCTGAACTATTTGGTTGCCATAGCAACTGTTTTTTTTAATTATGAATTGAAATGAAGTGAAATGATAAAGTTGATTAATTTGATTTATTTATTGTTTCAGAAGAAGAAATATAATAATGCAATGTGGCTATGGTTATTTTATATTGTTAATATCAATAATTATTTGAATAGTTCCTGAACTATTTGGTTGCCATAGCAACATGGTATTTTTTCAAATTTTAGATTTCTTTTTTGTTTAAATGTTAAGTGAAATGAAAAGGTAAATTAAAAAGTTATTTTTTCATTAAGGATTTAATGAAAAGCAGATATGTACAAAAAATCAGTCAAATACAGATTCTACAAATTAATCCAAATTCTCCATAGCAACCATTTTTGTTTTTATTTTATTTTATTTTAAGAAATATTACCACTCTAGAAATTTTATATTTTGTTGAGTATGGAATGAACTTTTACCTGATGGTGGTCATTTGCTATGGAGTGCCTGCATTTTTTTGCTATTATTTGTAGAAAATGTCCAAAATCTGCATTTTTCAAAATTTGTTAAATTTGTAAAAATTGACACTTTTCATTGAAAGATCATTCATTCATGACCAACTACTGAATTAATACACTAATTGCGGTAGTTACTCCTATAAATAATACATCAGAATAGGTAACCATCAATCCTGTATGAAATGTGTATAAAATAAAAAAATTAAGATGAAGTTGGTATAATTTTAGTAGAATGCTGCTCATTTATGAGCTAAAAATGGCGGTTTTGGTAACCATGGCAACCGGTGCTCAAATTTGTCTGTTGACCCCAAATATGATCTATACATGGCGTTTCTACATTACATGCAAAATATCAGCCAAATCTGTGATGTACCATTTCCAACCTTTTTCTAAATTCTTTGATGCTTACAGAGAATGACTCTTAAATGTCAAAAGTATGCTGTATATGGAGTTTCATAGGAATACATGGGGAAATTCTTTAAAATTCCTTTTCTCAAGAACAGCAAAGCCGTGATTAGTGATAATATTTATACTGAAGCATCTTTAGGTAGAGTAGATTCTAAATTTGTTCAAATCATGACCCATAGGAAAGGATGGGGCCAAAAAGGCCAATCAGAGGTTTACATAAGAATATATATATATATATATATATATATATATATATATATATATATATATATATATATATATATATATATATATATATATATTATATATATATATATGAAATTCTTTTAAAAGTCTTCTTCCTCAAAACAGAAAAGCCATGATTAGTCATATATTTGGAAGCACATCCTCAGATTTAAGTTTGTTCAGATCATGACTCCTGTGAAAAGGGTGGAGGTAAGAGTAAATTGGGGCCATGATATATTAGCTTAATTTTACATAGGAATATACTGGGGGAAAATCTGCTGAAAAGAACAGAAAGGCCATAGTTATTCGGGTGAGCTTTATGGCCCATGGGCCTCTTGTTTAAAATTTTATATCACCAAATATATTTATAACGTATTGTTTTTTAAATTACAATAAATAGACAAGCAAGTAGAAGAAAAGATAAATCAGGAAAATATGGATGAGAAGAGCAACAAAGTAAAGGCTAAATTTGATTGGGAGCAAGTCATAACTGAAGTCTTACATAAAAAAGGAGAAATTACACTCAAAAAATTGAGAAAGAAGGTAAGAAAAAAAAGACTATTAAAAAAAATTAATGTTATCTCCATTTTCCAGTGGAAATGAAGTCGCGTCTTGGAATTTTGTGACTCAATTTCAATTATTTCAAGTATAATGGAGGCTTGTATCAAACTGCAAATGAATCAAAGTAATCACTATTTTTGTCTCTGTATCCATGACACTTTCCTTTAATGTATCTTTCAACCTGATGCAGAGGCAGAAATTGCTGTGTGGTAAAGAACAAGTGTTTAACTTTTGAATATGAGGTGTGGATTTTCCAAATAACAACACTGTGGAATCCTTTCAATTGACTTTTTAGCTCACCTGAGCCAAATGCTCACTAAACTTTTCTGATTAAAGAGTGTCCTGCATCTGTCTCTCTAGCTGTCTGTCTGTTTTAGGTGTATTAGGTGTTGTCTGTAAACTGTCTACATATTCAACTTCTTCAGAACCACCAAGCCAATTTCAACCAAATTTGCTACAAAGCATCTTTGGGTGGAAGAAATTCAGATTTGTTCAAATGAAAACTACATCCTCTTTCAAAGGGACATAATTAAAAGTGAGTGAAAATTTAATGGCATTTAATAAGATTTCTTCTCAAGAAGAGATGAAAGTTAGTTAAAAGCTTCATTACAAAGTGAGGACAAATTCGTTAAAATTATGACCCTAGCCCTGGGGGTAGGATGGGGCCACAATAGGTGATCAAAGTTTTACATTAAAATATATATAGAAAATTTTTTTATATTACCCCCCCCCCCCTAAAATATACCTAAATCAAGATCAGTGCTTCACTACTTGTCAATCATACTAGAAACAATACCTACTGATTTGATTGACAGGCAAGCTACCAGTGCTACCTGATGTTTTGAAATTGGAAGTTTTGAATCACAATTACCTGACCAAATGTCAAGCTCTGTCATGTGTTGTTGGACTAGTGACTTGGAATAAACACTGGTACACAGAAAAATATATTCGCTGTAATAGGTATTGCAAAATTCATGGCCCTGGGGGGATAGGGTTGGGCCACATTAGGCAATCAAAGTTTTACATAGGAATATATAGGGGAAAATTGAAAAAAAAATTCTTCTTAAGAACAACAATGCTATGATTGGTCATATTCATATGGAAGCATCCACAGGCAGTGAAGATTCAACTTTGTTCCAGTCATGACCCCTTGGGGTAGGCTGGGGCCTTAGTAGGTGATCAAACTTCCACGTAGGAATATACATGGGAAAAAAAAGCCATGGTTAGTCACATTTCAATGAAAATATCCTTATGTAATGTAGATTCATGTTTGTTCAAATCATGACCCTGGTGAAAGGATAAAGCCACATTAGGCAATCAAAATTTACATTGGAATATGTAGGAATTTTTCTTAAAAATCTTCTCAAGAACAGCAAAGCCATGGTTAATCATGTTTATATGGAAGCATTCCCAAATATAGTTTTGATTAGGGCCCCACTCTGCGGGTGCCCTATAGTGATCAGTCCATCCCTCCATCCGTCCTTCCATCCATCTGTCTGTCCAAGATCTCTTGTCCGGAGCATATCTTCTCTCTCCTCGGCCCAATCTGGCTCATACTTCACCCACAGAGTGTCTTTGGGTAAAGGGTTTGCAGTGACCTTGAACCATGTTTCTAGGTCTAAGGTCAAGGTCAGCAGAATTATATGAAAAATCCTTGTCCGGAGCATAACTTCTCTCCCCCTTGGTCCAATGTGAACCATACTTCACTCACAGAGTGCCACTGGTCAATGGATGTGCAGTGACCTTGAACAAAGTTTCTAGGTCAAGGGTCAATTTCAAAAATAGCCTCTCTGTTTAAAATCTTTGTTCGGTGCATAATTTCTTTCCCTTAAGTCCAGACAGCCTCAAACCTTACCCATTGACTTAGGGTATGGAACATTTGTGATTTTCCTTTCATATTTCTGATAGAGGATATGCAACAATTTTCATAGAGGATATGCAGCATTCGTGATTTTTGTGCCGTTTTTCGATAGAAGAGGTATTGAGGACTCGTGATTTTCGTGCCATTTTTTAATATAATAAGGATAACATTGAAGCCCTTTAGACTCAAACAACACATCCCTTAATAGTACACAAATTTTCCTCTTCAAAATAAAACCTTTTCAGCTACCTTACATTTTCATGTTCATTGCTGAAAGCGGGGCCTTTTGAGATGGCCACCATCTCAATGATATCTAGTTCATGTTTGTTCAAATCATGACCCCTAGGAGTAGGGTGAGGCCACAATAGAAATTACTTAAAAATATATAGGAAAATTTTTTAAAAAATCCTCTTATGGACAACAAAGCCATTATCAGTCATAATAATAATGCAGGCATCTTCAGGTTTTGTTCATATTGGGGTCCTTGGGAATAGGTTGAGGCTACAATAGCACGGTGTAGTACCTAAACGGTTGCTATCAGAAAAAATGCGCGTACATTACTGCTATCTGAAAATTGTGCGATTGCTATTGGAAAAAAATGGACGAAATGGTAAGCATTTTTCTTCGCTGGCTCAATAAAATGGTCAATAATTCAATTATCAAAATTTAGCTGCTTATTATCCCCTCGCGCAACTAGTTGCGGAGGGGATATAGCATCGCTACTGTGCGTATGTGTGTGTGTTAGTGTGTCCGTTACAGCTTGTGGGCAAGATTTAAAGAGAACCTTTGCACTGTCAATTCTCAGCCTTCACATACTTATGTGGCATTGTTAAAGGACGAACCCTATTCATTTTCAAATTAATCGGTGAAATAGTTCTTAAAATATCGCGTTTCTACTACCTTCAAACCCTGCAATTTTATGTACGAGTTGACAATACTCACTTCCGGTAAATATAACAGGTTAAAATTCGGGTCGTTTCGATAGAGCCGCTTCTGTAAGTTCTTCTTTGTATTTGCGTATTGTCATATTATTGTGCGTATCTTGAAAAAATTTGTATGAATTAAAAGTGTCATATCTGTCACTGAGTAACTGAAATAATTTGATGAACGTCGCGGTTTCAATACCAAATTACCACAGGTACTTGGGTCTTGGTTTATAAATATGTATGTACCTTATTGATATGTAAAAAAAGTACTTTTTTTACATATCAATAAGGTACATACATATTTATAAACCAAGACCCAAGTACCTGTGCAAATTACCACACGTGTGTGTTTACTATAGGGGCCTGTGGAATCTAATCTTATCTTGAGGCGTACGTAATTCTTGAAAGCTATAAAGTTGCACAAGTTTCATTGACATCTCAACACAGGTATTGTCATTTTTCAATACAAAAAATATTACTTCCGTGCGTATTTTCAGATTAGATGCATATTGCATGCTACTGTGAGGTTTACTCAGGTAGGTAAATTAATGAAATTTAGAGCACACGTGATATGTTTCTGCTAGGAATAAGGGAAACTATGCTTGTTATGACAGCCCCCCCCCCCTCCACCTTGACTTTTGTTAAAATTTAATTCAGTCGGGTTCTAATACATTTTAATTTCTTTACCTTATTTTAAACTTTAAATAGTAATACTGGATACCCTTGATTACTAGGCCTAGATGATTGTATCTTGTTTAGCGTCCCTCTTGAGAATTTTTATGACGTCGAGCTCTTGGAGCTCGAACGTCATCTAGCGATCGGCCAAGTGAAATCGCCAAGGGATGTACGCGACCGAATGTGTCAGTGGATGCATCCGCAATAGAAAATAGCAATAGCTATAAACCAATTTCTTTTAAAACGCTCACAATGAATAATTATAGCTTGAAAATGAAATTGCATCAATTGTATCTACAATTAATTCTTTTACAAAACAACGATATTATGTTTTATTTTCACACAATAAAAACGTGATGGTTGTTGCGGATGAATTTCTACAGAAAGGTGCATCGAATGACATGAATAACATTTTGGAACGATAACCGTGGAACACAAACAACCCAACAGGCGGTAAAATAATTTACAAAATTACATAAACACGAATACTATAAGACTGAAAAGATTGAATTTGTAAATCTTAGCTTTACTTTTACAATCTTCTGACCAACTTTATCCTAAAAACCGATGATGTTGACCAGTATTACTGTATTTCTCCATTTCCTCCAATATACCACCCCCTATCGTAACTCGATCGTACTTGTAACAGAGCAGAGTCATGGTTGTAGTTTAGATGCAATCACCAAAACAACGCTTTGACATTGGCAATTAGAAAGAATAATATATAAATTCATGAAGTCCTTCATAGTTCTTCAATTGACTGAAAAGATATTAGTTTGATATTTAGCATGAACATGTTCGACGGTGTCTGGTCAATTCGAACCCTGCTCCATTCGGACCATGACATAAGGCCCCAGACTGTAATTGTGACATTTTGTTTAAAACTATTTTTTTATTATTATTATTATGTCACCAGAGTCACTCACTCGACCTATTGCTATCTTCAGATTCTTTTGAAATTATTTTTCTTGTTCGACGTCATTGAAGCCTTTCAGGCTTTTGATTCTCTCATATGGAGACATTGCCATTACCGGTGAAGTTCCTGGCGCGAGGGGATGCTCCGCTTAGCGGTGCTCTTGTTATTTCACCCTTACGGAATATACCATATCTTTTAAAACTAACATGTATCTCTAATTTTTTTATGAATAAAAGGATTGTTGATGTATAGCACGAAAACTGTCGAAAGTCTCGGACACACTTACATGCACATAAGACATATATTTGATTAGCGTCAAAATGTGTAGATATTTGATAAAAATGAATCGACAGATCGGTGTATTTTTGTAAAACGAATTGATTATTTCATAGAATTACCCATTTTAATCGGTTTCTTAAAAACAAAAGCATTTTCATGCGGAGAAACTTATGTTAAGGCTACTATTAGACAACAACACCGGTTTCTATTGGAAATGTCTTAAGTTTTCAATTTTTCATTAATACACGTCCTTAATTTACATCTATTATGCAGTAGTTTAGAAAACTATATTTGAAATGTTCATTCTATATTCTTTTTAATAACTGACTGTTTATATTACCTTAATTTCGATCCTATAAGAATAAATGGGTTTATTTCAATATCTATATGTATGGTATGACTAATAATAATAGTAGTGTTTGTAAATACCCTGTACATTTACGAAGTATCCTGCACACAATAAAATTGTTAGTCTTTAAATTATGTGCACCTTCTATTGAATTTATTAGACTTCACCTGGGTATATTACGCGTGATTCACAAATAAAAGATCTCTCATGTTTTTTGTTTTGTTATTATTTATTTATTTTTTTTGGGGGGGTGGGGGGGGGGGTGGGGTGGTGGTGGGGGGGGGTTGGATATAAACTTTTATCCAATGAGTTGTGGTAATATAATTTCTTTAGAATGGACTTGTTTCAAACACTTTTCAAAAATTTAAGGCCAGATCAGCAGCATCGGATCCTATGTATAAGCAAGGCAACCCTAGATACACCATCCTTACAAGTTTCATCCAAGAGAACTGCTCGCTCGAATAACAGACCTTATTATAGATGCTACTATATTATACATCCAGTTCAATAAACTACTTTTTGTAAATTCAATTTTTGATGTACGAGTACAGTATGGTCAAACACTCCTAATGTCCAAAAACTATGTACATGTATTGAAAATACGAAAGTATACACCCCTCTTTCTTTTTCGAAAAAGACTACATATGTCTGTAAATAACTGTAATGTTCTCTCCTTTAAATGAATTGTACATAATTATACATTACTTACTGGATAGAATATTAGTCTTTTTCATGTTCGGATCTCCACCTTTTTTAAGGGGGGGGGGGGTTCCAAGCCCACTCAAAAAAGACAGAGAGAGAAATAGAAGTAAATATAAGAAAATTGAAAAGCAAACAAGTAGCTCAGTCTTCTCCATCTGAAAAAACCTTCTTCTTTCGAGCCCTCCCTCCCCCGCGGGGGAGGGAGGGCTCGGGGGGGGGGGGGGATTGTCTCTTCTATCTGCATAAATGTAATAATCCAGAAAATCATCCAAAAGGAGGAATCGGACATCCTCTCCATTCAAGATCCGATGGTTTGAATAATGCGTGTTAATTGTATTTTCTGATGCAACAGCGTACCAAAGCACTACTGGCAAAGGTTATACTGAAAATTTACTAGATATTATATAGGTCTAAGTATACATATAGACTACAAAAATTTAAAAAGAAATAGTTTTCGAAAGCTTTCCAAAGCTTTTGAAGTACTGATGGTAAAGTTCTTTCATTTAATTTAAACTTACGTTTCCTTCGTATAGCTTTCTTTTTGATTTTGTATAGTGATGTTTTTCGAAGGTAAGCTCTACTTGGCAGAACACAAAAAAATCGAGTTAAGTTGATAAATGTCAATTGTACATGTAGACATTGTGTTCCATATGCTCTTTGGATGTTTTAAATATATTTTCTATGCCTGTGCAGCCCTAAGATTTTTAATTTTCTTTTTCTTGATTGAAAAACAAATTATATTTCAAATAGCAGCCGGTGCATTATATTCAGTTTATAGCCGGTGCATACATACCAACATTTCTGATAGTAACCGTAACTTAAGAAGATCATGTTTTGTCCAAAAATCTCTTTCAAAATACACTTTTTAATAGAAAAAATTATCATATCTACGAATTATTCTAGATTTTCACATCTTTACATACCAAAATGAACTCAAACTAACCTATAAATGATGTAAAGAAGCATGGAAACTTGGAGTATATTGACTTAAGAATGGGTACATGCTTCGGAAATTTTACTATATTTAAATTTTTAGAAGGTTGTTCTACAAAATACATCTGGCATCATTTAAAGAAATCCCTTACTTGTTTCGTGCACAATGATTTTTCTGAGACTTAATCTATTTGGGGTCACTTTCTGACACTTTTACCTCTTGTTCCAAGTTTTTCCGACATATTTATTTCAGCTAGTAGCCGTAAAATTTACGAATAGAAACAATGAACGCTTTTTTGTTCTGATAGCAACCGTTTAGGTACTACACTGTGAATAGGGGGTTAGAGTTCTAACAAGGGAGTATATATTCATGACATTAGGAAAAACTCTTTTCAGAAGTAGCAAGTATAAATAATCAAAACATTCAAAAGTTGTGTACAATCCATTTTTTTTTTAAAAATTATGATTGATCCTGGATTAGGGCTGGGCTGAAATCATATGTTCAAATTTTGTGCAGGAAAAAAAATCTTCTCCAAGAACAGCAGGGCTATGATGATCGTACTGATACTGAATCATCCCAGTGTTGTGGAGATTCAACTTTGATTAGATGATAGCTCCCTTATGGCTAGATTCTGGTCTGCAATAGGTTGTCCAATTCTTTTATGAAAACAAATGAGGAAATTTACAGATAAGATGGAGAACAGCAGGGCCAAAGTAACTCAGATAAGTATTGTGGCCCATGGATCTTTTGTTCATTTTTCTCATAAGTTTATAATCAGAGCTAATTTAATATCAGTGAAAATAGGACTGTTTAGTACAACTGACTCCTTCAATGACCTTTCTTAAGAATTTCATTTGTTTTTAACATATGCTTGCAGCAGACACACCTACTAATTTTGTGAAAAGAAATGACATCAAACACACTGGAAATTAGCTATACAGTGCTTTATTAAAAAAGAATTTAATTTTGAGCAGACATTGTGTCAAACATTGGAATTTGTTGTTTCATGGTTTTCATGACCAGGTCTGTGGTAGCTTCAAAAAAGCTTTAAGGTTATTCATTATATTAAGTTCATTTCTTATTAAGATTTTTTGACTCTGCATTTTTATCCAAGTTATTTTTTAGGCCAGAGTATTTTTCTTTGAAATTGTATGAGATGTAACAGTTTAGCTTAGGATATTAATGAAGTTAAAAAGGAATTGGCAACTTGGCATCTGTTTTTATATAACAGCAAGTCTTTGGTACAGACTTAAACAGCAAGTCTTAAGTTCAGACTTTTAAAGCAAGTCTTTGGTTCAGACTTTAACAGCAAGTCTTTGGTTCAGACTTTACAGCAAGACTTTGGTTCAAGCTTTTACAGCACATCTGTGGTTCAGACTTTTACAGCAAGACATTGGTTCAGGCTTTTACAGCAAGTTTTAGGTTCAGACTTTTACAGCAAGTTTTTGGTTCCGGCTTTAACAGGTCATTGGTTCTGACTTTTACAAGTCTTTGGTTGAAACTTTCCAGGAAGTCTTTGGTTTAGTCTTTTACAGAAAATCTTTGTTTCAAACTTTTACAGCATGTCTTTGTTTCAGGCTTTTACAGCAAGTCTTTGGTTTAGACTTTTACTGCAAGTCTTTGGTTTAGACTTTAACAGTCTTTGGCTCAGGTTTTGCCAAGTTTTGTGCCAAGATAAGCAAGTATTTTCTCAAACTTTTACAGTGTGTCTTTACAGCAAAAGTTTTGCTTAGATTTTACTGCAAATTTTTGACTCAAGTCCAAAGCAATTTTTTGGTTCAGACATTTACAGTGAGTCTTTGACCAAGACATTTCAACCAGTCTTTTGCTCATACATTTCCAGCTACTTTCTTGCTCAGTGTTTAACAGCAAGTCTTCTACTTTTGTAGCAAGTCTTTGACTCAGACTTTTGAAGCAAGTCTTTGACTCAGACTCTACAGTGAGTGTTTTTTTCAGACTGTCACCTAGACTCTCTTTTATTTGTGACAGGTTTTAGCTGAGTATGCCTCTGTGAGAGGGGAGCCTGGATCAGAAGAGAAAATATTGGCCAAATTCATGAAAAAAGTCAACAAGAATCCCAGAATCAAAGTTCACAAAGAGAGGGTCAAGTTAAAGAATTGAACTGGAATTACTATAATATGTGATATTAATTTTTTTTTTTAATTTAACTGTGTTCACTATGTTCAATAAGATTGTCAAGATTTTAAACTGGTTTAAAGGACATCTGACTTAACATCATTATATTTATACTGTACAACTTTTAAATGCAATCAATGTTATGATTTTTGTTGAATGTTAATGCAGTTTTGGTCTGGTATTATTAATTCACCCGGTTAAAATCATTGTGAAAGACTAAATTTTTTTATTTACTAAATATTGCAAATGTGATGAAGATTTGACTTTTTTCATCCCATCAAAAGGTTTGTGTTTATAGGTTTTTAATTGTAAATATTTATGGTATTTTTCTGTCTTAAAAACTATTATCAGTTTTATTCAGACTTAACACAAAAATGATGTGGGTAATAGAGACTCAGTTAGATGTAAATCTGTGACTATGGCCTTTGAAAAGCTTTTGTAGAATACTGTGCATCCTCCCAATGCCAGAGTTCCTGAGTCAACATATTGCCGTGGGATCCCTGGCCAATTTCATTCAGTGGGCTGACTGTAGTGACGTCTTTTGGAAAAATTACAAATCTTGATTGTTTTTCTTATCTCTCAGCCAATCACATTAAGCCATTCTATGATATAAAACTTGTAACACATGCATTTGAGGTGTTAACTGAATTTTTTTGTTTATATTATCTAACTATATTTATGAAAGCTTTAATTTGATTGTTGCTTCACAATTAGAGAAGCAAGCCCTAAAATTTCAAATGAAATTGGCCAGGGGTCCCAAGGCAACATGTTGACTCAGGACCCCTGGCATTGAGAGGATGAATACTGTGGGAAAAATAATTTAAAAAATCTGTAGAATCAGAGAGACAGAAATGGCCTGAAGCAGGATGAATGAAAAAAGATGTATAGAATTCTCTTACAACTAAATATTTAGCTCATCTGAGCCAAAGAATCAAATGTGGGCAACTTGTCAAATTTGTCACAGAGTATCTTGGCTTTCATTTGTAATAAAATCAGGGATGTGACCATTAAACAAAAGAAAATAATTAGGGACTTAAAATCAAAAGTAGTGGTTACTAAAAAGTCTCTTTCTCGTGAACCAATGTCCCTTGGGCAGAATATCATGAAACTTATAGACTATAGGATAAGGATATGTAGATTAATAAGAATTCAAAGCATCACCCTTAAGGGCAAAGAGCATGGTCTCAAAGTCACTTCAAAGTTGACCTAAAGTGATATTTTGATAAAACATTGGTATTTTGCACATTTTAAGTACTGGGATCATCAGGTCTTGTCACTTGATGCATCCTAGGACCTTGAGTTATGTTGCTCCAAAAGTAGGTCATGGTAACCTAAAAGAATTAAAAATGAATAGCTGCAAAATTCAAAAAGGTCATAGTGACCTACTTTTTAAATTTTGAAGCTATTCATTTTCAAATTCTTTTAGATGCATATCTTGGACATGGTGAGATCTAGGACCATCAAACTTCAAACTTTTTCAGCTGATGCATCTTGGGGTCTCAGGGCCTTGCAATGAAAAAGTGAGTTACAGTGACCTGCTTTCTGAATTTTATGGCTATTCATTTTCAATTTAATCTAAATATTTCAGATACTAAGAGGCTTAGAATCATCAAGCCTAGTTAGTTAATGCACCTATGGGCCTACTTTCAGAATTGTTTGGAAATTCATTTTTTTTTATATTAAATCTTTTAAACTACACTGTATATATTTTTAACACTATGACCTGCAGTCAACAAACTTACAAGTTGTTACATCTTAGGGTGTGGCATTTGTTCATTCAAAAGTAGGTCACAGTGACCTACATTTTGAATTTTATCATTATAAATTGACAAACCAGTATATCTTTAATACTAGGATCATTAGATCTTGTCCATTGTAAGTTGATATATCTAAGGACAAAGGATATAGAGACCCAAAAGTAGCTACAGTGTCCTACTTTTTGCATTTTATCATTTTTCATTTTCAAATCTTTCATTTGTTCATTTTTATCTTTGATGCTACAAGGCAAGGAATCATTAAACATTGTCAATTGATACATGTTAGGACCTCAGAATATACTGACCCCAAAGTAGGTCACTGTGATTTATTTTTAAATTTTCTTATTTTTTATTTTCAAATCTTTATATCTTTGACACTAAGAGGCCTATGAAAAGGAAAACCTTGTCATTTGATGCATTTTCAGACCTCAGGATATGTTGACCCAAAAGTAGGTCACTGAAACCTTCTTTTTACACTTAATAATTATTTTTTAAATCAAATTTTATATCTTTGATACTAAGAGGCCTAGGATCATCAACCTTACCAGTTGATGCATCTTTGAGCCTCAGGATATGATGGCTTAAAAGTTGGTCACAATGATCTACATTATGCATTTTATCGTTATTCATTGTCAAATCTTAAATCTGTAGCTAGGATCACCAAACCTTGTCAATTGATGCATCTTGAGGCTTGATAGTGTGGCAAACAAAAAGTAGATCACAATGACCTACTTTCTGTATTTACAGCTAATCATTTTTAAAACATTTTATCTAGATATTTCAGATTCGAAGAATCATCAACCTTTGTCAGTTGGTGAATTTGGTGCCATATAGCAACAAGATTTGCCAATTCAGAAGTAGGTTACAGTTTAATACACTGTTATTATTTTTCACCTTTTTCATCACCCGTAGATTGGTTTTTTGTTTGAAAGACATTTAGTCAAGACAGTGTCTCTTTTGTCATTATTTTTTATGCTTGTCATTTTTCTCCGAAATCAAACGTGTTATTAATTACTTGAGGCCAATTAATTGTGTTTTTCCAGCTTTATTAACCCGTGATTGGTTAAAAGTTAAAGTGTACTGAATTATTATAATATGACAAGGCTTGCAATAAACCTTAATTATGCATTTTTTGCAAACAACCAATTTAGTCATAAAATAAATACATACAAGACATCAAAAGAAAAATCAAAGTACGTTAACAGCTGTCTCCTCACATGTATGCATAAGTATGTAATAATTCTTGTTTTAAAAAAGTAAATTTATCCAGGCCAACTTTAAAATGTTTGCTTGCCCTCTCACGACTGAGGATGAAAAAATTGAGTCGGTTTGTTGGTGAGAATTTTTTTTAAAGAAAACTTCAAAATCAATGCTGAATTTTCAAAATTTATTTTCAGGAATGCATAAAAATAATTGCTTCTGGGAGGATAAAAAGGTTTTGAGTTGGGCCATTTTTAGCCAGTCGGTCGGGAGAGGGCAACCAAACATTTTTTTAAAGATGGCCCCATATCACAAAAGCTTTGACAACAATAGACTAGCTGAAAGAAAAAAAATTCTCTGTTTATCAACTTGAAAGCAGAGTTATACCATTAAATAGCATATTTTAATGAGTAACCGAGTAAAGAATAATAAAAGACCGAATGATAGTCGAGTGCTCGATATATTCGTTGTCAAGTTGATTTAGAGAGAAGAAATCTACTTTGTTCACTGTTCTACTGTGATACGGAAGGTGGCAAGTACTTTTATTTAATTACCTATCAATATGGATCAGTACATTTATTTAATTACCTATCAGTATGGAAGCCTACCTGCTGGTCCAGGAGCTTGATATTCTGTTGCTTTCATTCTATCTAAAATAGCTACTAAGTACTTTGTCTGGTACCGACAGGGGTAAAATTTCCTTGGTAGTCACTGCATTTCTTTCTTGGGTAGTTTATACTGATACCATCTTTCCATTCACTAGAGACCTATTCATTTTCCCAGATTTTATATTACTGAAGAGGACTTTGCAGCTTGTCACCTGTTGTCTCCATGTCAAATTTAAAAATATCTTCTGTCGGTATCACATCAAGTCCTGCTGTTTTCCCATTCCTTAAGGAATAATAATTTTCTTGATTTCTGCTTTTGACAGTGTAGCAGTGCTTAGGTTAGGACTTCCTTGATATGTTCTGACCATCTCTTCAGCTGCTTCTTTCCCTATTGTTTTGAGTAGGTCCCCATCTTTATCTTTTACAGGATTGTCAGTCTGATGAAATTTGCCTTCTTTGTCACCATGAAGAGAAATCGGAGGTTTCCCTGACCTGCTGCATCCTTTGCCAGTTTTTCAGGCTGTCATTGTGTTACCTCTTATCATTTTGAGACTGATCTTCACTTTTTAGCTCACCTGAGCCGAAGGCTCAAGTGAGCTTTTCTGATCACATTTTGTCTGTAGTCCGTCTGTCTGTCTGTCCGTCTGTCCGTCTGTAAACTTTTCACATTTTCGACTTCTTCTCAAGAACCACTGGGCCAATTTCAACCAAACTTGCCACAAAGTATCCTTGGGTAAAGGAGATTCAAGTTTGTTCAAATGAAGGGCCACGCCTTCTTCCAAGGGGAGATAATTAAGAATTTGTGAAAAATTAATGGCATCATTAAAAAATCTTCTTCTCAAGAACCACTGTGCTTGAAAACATGAAACTTATGTGGAAGCATCCTCAGGTAGTGTAGATTCAAGTTTGTTCAAATCATGACCCCCGGGGGTAGGGTGGGGCTGCAATGGGCAATCAAAGTTTTACATAGGAAATATACAGGAAAAATCTTTAAAAATCTTCTTCTCAAGAACAACAAAGCCATGATTGGTCATATTTATATGGTAGCATCCTCAGATAGTGTAGATTCAAGTTTGTTCAAATCATGACCCCTGGGGGTCGGGTGGGGCCACAATGGGCGATCAAAGTTTTACATAGGAATATATGGGAAAATCTTCAAAAATCTTCTTCTCAGGAACAGCAAAGCCAAGATTGGTCATATTTACTAGGAAGCATCCTCAGGTAGTGTAGATTCAAGTTTGTTCAAATCATGACCCCCTGGGGTCGGGTGGGGCCACAATGGGCGATCAAAGTTTTACATAGGAATATATAGGAAAAATCTTTAAAAATCTTCTTCTCAAGAACAGCAAAGCCATAATTGGTCATATTTACATGGAAGCATCCTCAGGTAGTGTAGATTCAAGTTTGTTCAAATCATGACCCCCGGGGGTCGGGTGGGGCCACAATGGGCGATCAAAGTTTTACATAGGAATATATAGGAAAAAATCTTTAAAAATCTTCTTCTCAAGAACAGCAAAGCCATAATTGGTCATATTTACCTGGAAGCATCCTCAGGTAGTGTAGATTCAAGTTTGTTCAAATCATGACCCCCTGGGGTTGGGTGGGGCCACAATGGGCGATCAAAGTTTTACATAGGAATATATAGGAAAA